TAAGGGACACAATGCAGCAACTTAGTGATCACTTTGTTTAAGATAATGATCTAAAATCCTCCATTTTCTGGGGTTCAAGGAGAGTTAACATTAGTCTATCCCCCCAATCAAAAGAGACTTGTCAACAGGATGAAAATCTCCACATCAGTGATCACTAATATCCCAGGCTGATTTAGAGTGATTTCTATAACCATAAGAAAATTCACCTGGATCTTCAGTGCCAGAGATAGTTAGTAATTTGATAATGTGAAATAGGAAGTAAGAGAACACGTACGTCCATCACCTAGCCCAAGCTAACGGCCTAACCCATGAAGAGCAAATAGATTCTTTCAAGGCAAATGAATTCCTGATCATGAATGATGACTTATAATTTGCATAGATGGAAGAAAATAAGTGTGAAGCAGCCCAGACCTATAATATAGCAGATTAGCAATTCTTTAAGAATGTATGCAACTTATAACTGAGACTTCGATCCAGAATCCATGTTTTGCATGTGCTTGCTTAACCTAATTGCTGTCAAATTTGATGTGATAGATACACAAGCTGATGTTAAACTGTCATGCTTTGTTTAGTATCAAGGTGAGCATGGATGGAAGCCTTCAAATTATCCTGGACTGTGCGAGAAGCTTTTAGCAAAAAGTCAAACTGTGGTATGTTTGCTTTGGTTTTTTATTTTTTTTTCTTGGAAAGTTATCTCTGTTTGTTCTTTTCTTTTCACAAGTAGTGGGAAATTACATTAATATGCTCTATAATCCCAAAAACCTTCTGTAAATTTGTTAATTCACCAAAATATAAAATAATATTACAAATAGTGACAATATCCAAGAAAACCATTTATACTTAACAAGAGCAGAAGGCCACAGGAATTTCTCTTTAGCTCAAAGCCTAGACTGCTAATCTGAAGACTCTCCATAATGGTCTAACCGTCTAACAGGTTATGGGTAGATTCAAGGTTAAAGAAAACTCCAGAGACTTCTAGCTTGCTATTTGGAAATAACCTCTTAATTAACCTCAACTAATCAAGTATAAGGCTACTTGCACAGTTACATGTAAACCTTCCAAGATCCCAGCAATAGCAGTATCTTACTGTCTAGTGACGCTGATTTTCTGGAGCCGTAGGACTCATTATTGTTTTCTGTCTTCACCATTCAGATAGTGGTTTAGCTGTTTTTAGAACTTCATACTTCCCAATAAAATTAGAATTCGTAAAATTTCATTTGAGCTTGTGTGTGCTTATAGAAAGAATAAGTGGGGCAACTGGGAAAGAAATCAAAAGAACATTGAACTGTATGATATGTGTTATAGACTACGAGTTTAATTTAAGATTGCAAAGAAATTAAGGCAAATTCGTAAAACTAATGGCGGAAGGTTGATACAATAGCTTTAAGCTATTACTCTCTCAAGTGACTTTGAGGTCACAACTCTCATACAAGGTTTCTCACAAATTTCTGGATACCCTTCTATTCTTTCTTACAATTGCTTATATATTCAAACCATTCTATAACAAGCATTAACCTAGCATCAATAAAGTTTGTCTTCTACTGATAATTCAGAAAATCAGGTAGCATGTTGTTACTCCTTCCCTTAGTGGAGTCTTAATGACGTTTGTCTTCTTGTGAGGAATTGCCTTGCCTCTCAATCTGCATCAGCATCTTGTCCCCCTCTTTTTCTCTCTTCCTCCTCTATACACCAACATTGGTGGCTTAGCCCCGTGAGCCCACTCCATAACATTATGCTTTTACCTTTTACGTAAAACCAGTAGGCTTAGGTCACTTAGCTTCCTGATGATGCTGGAAAAAAGCTCAATAAATGATACCCAGCTGTCGATTATTTCCTCCATCTCTATGTAATTGCAGAAGGACCCACTAATATTTTACTTTGTATCATTTATCTCCCCACTAACTCTACTTGCACTATTATTTTATTTATTCTCTCCCACTAACCCCATTTGAACTATCTTTTATTACTTCTCTCTCCCGCTAACTATTATATATACCTTTGGTATCAACTATACTCAATACTCAGTATTACATATTATAAATTTCCAACTTTGGTCCCCACCCTATAAATTTCCTTAATTGTGTGCTTAAATAGAGAGTGGCCACAGGAGTGTTATGTGACCGAAGCATTCCCTTACAATTGAAGGGAAAGTTCTACACGATTGTCATAAGACCATTGTTGCTTTATGGTACCGAATGTTGGGCTTCTAAGAAGGAGCACATTAAAAGATGGAGATTACGGAGATGCGCATGTTAAGGTGGATCTCCGGGAACACTCTAAGAGATAGAATTAGAAATGAGGTTATTCGCAAGAAAGTAGGCGTGGCAGGCATTGCAGACAAACTAAGGGAAAATTGTCTGCGTTGGTTTGGGCATGTAAGGCGGAGACCCAAGGGTGCACCGGTACGAAGAGTGGGAGAGTGGGACCATAGAGGAGTTGAACAAGGGAGAGGGAGACCGAAAATGACTTGGTTGGAAGGAGTTAGGAAGGATATGAAGTATAAGGATTTGCGTGAGGATGAGGCATTGGATCATAAGGGTTAGAGGGGGAAGATTTTTGTCGATGATTACACGGAATAATCACTTTTGGTTCATGTAGCCGACCGCACTTATGAGATTAAGGCTTTGATTGATTGATTGATTGATTATGTGCATACCATACTATTGCAATTAATCAGAAATGGAAAGAGTACCTAGCATGAGTGAAAAGAGACTTTAACCTACTTTTTCCTATGCTCTCAATTTCATACGTTCTTTTTCTGTTTATAAACCTTATATTTACGCGTCATCTCCTTTTAGAAGCAATTCTATATAATGCGGATAGAATATTATGCAAACAATGTGAAATAACTTCTTTTCAAAAGATACTTTCCTTCATAATACATTAAAAGCTACACAATGAACCAGTCTTCATGTCCTATCCAACTTGGGACCTGAAGTAACATTCCCTAAATAGAAAGAAATATTCTTCACTGGAACCCTTAATCTAAAGCACAACATCAAGAATTTGGTGTTTTTCAATCAACCAATTTTGAGCAATGTACAGATGCAAGTTATGTTTGTGTTCCCTTAAGGACTATCCGGGCCATGCTTAGTTTCTAGACTCCAGATAATAGGATTATGTACCTAATTGATTGAAATAGTAGTTGTTTTGGTTAATTTAGGCCTTACCAGTATACATGTGTGGTTACTCTGCTTTTATGATTGAGTTATACTTTTGACATGATTACTTGTTATATCAAGTAATGTGTAATTGATGATTTTCTTCACCTTTCTTTTAGGCCGGTTTCTTCCTTGTGCAATATAGTCGACTGTGGCAACAACATCTGGACAAATTATTTAGCCTCTACTCCTCAGGAAAACTTGAGGTATATCTGTCACAAAGCTTGCAAGGTTTTTTTTTTTTAATTAATTTTATTTCAATTCTCTCGTTGCAATTTATGTGTCCGGAAACAATCTTCTCTGCAATATATTAGATTTACTTTTCTAAACAGTACATTTTACGTTTTAACTCCTTATCCTGTAATTTTAGAATAGTGGTCACTGGTCGTCTGGTCATCTATAATTTCATACTCTTTTATCTTTATCTAGATTTCTCACAGTAGAGAAAATATTGAATCTTATTTCAGGATGCATAAGATGTCATATGGATTGTTTATATTGATGCAGGTTAACATGGATCCAAGAAGGTTTGTGGGACTTCAATCCGTTGCGGATGCTGTTGAATATCTCCATTCTGGTAAAAGTATTGGCAAGGTGTGCACCTTCTCATTCTCTCTTGTTTTATTTAGTTTAGGGACCCTCACCATTGTACCTTTGTGTTTGGCGTTATCAACCAATGCCTTCGTGTTTTTCTTTCTAATTGAGGTAATTTAAACCAAACAAGTACTTCACATATGAATGTCCTCTTTGTCATCTCAGACAAATTTGGTCATCCTTTGTGGCTGAAGAGTTGTATTGTATGTCAATAATTCTTAGGTGCCAGCAGGACAGGTGTAGGTATTTTGCTGTATACTTCATATACAAGTATATCATTAATATTATATCTGGAAACCTCATATTTATACAAGTATATAATTAATAATTATTAGGAAACCTCATATTTGAAATTGAAACCTTGGTATACGGTAGTTATGTATTGTTTCTGTGTTTAGTATTGTTTGCTCCTTTAAAGCCCTGAAGCTGAATTTGTGTCTGGTTTTGAATTTTAGGTGGTGGTTTGCATTGACCGAACCTTCAGTCAAGCTATTTCAAAAATGTGAGAATTGGTAGCCTCATTCTCAATGTGTCTGGCGCATTATACTGTTTTATTGTATGTTGCTCTTGGATATTGGTGTATAGTTTTCCATATTTGAAAGCATTAGTGTGCTCTCATGGAGTTAAACGAGGAAGACAGAAGATGTGTATGACACAGATTTACTTGGGAAGACTGTTCTGTTATTGCCTGCCTACCCTTACCGAGTTTTGGCCTTATCTGTGTATGAAACTCGACTGTGACATAAAATTCAAGCCAAAATGCTTCTAGGCCTCAAGGCAAGGATATTGGAGTGACACGGCTTCACTTGCGTCTCTTCTAAAAAGGACTGGTATAGGGGATCTCTCTCTACACTATACTTTAACCGACCTCAGAAAGATGTGACGGGCTTTCGACAATCCTCAATTACTTGTCGTACAAGTCTAATTGCTTTCTCTAATTCCATGTAATGTCTTTATTTGTTGTCAAAAAATTTAAAAAAAAGAAATGTAATATATTGCCTACATCATTTCTCTCTTTACTATAATCTAACTTTGTATTATGGTTTCTAGAATATTATGGTTTCATATTATAGGAGTTTGACATTTTTCCAAGCTATCATTCATTATAAAAGGTGGGAAAAATAATAATATCATAGTGGTAAATCAAATGCTAAAACTATAAGCTTGAAATAACTAGGGTTTATGCCTAGCACGAACCTGCATGTACTCGCAACCTATTAATATATGTAGGCATATACTTGTATATGTTTAAAAGGTACCATATTCACATTATGTAATTACTTGGGTTCTTCTACAGTCAAAATATATTTCTTCATTGAGTCAACTACATACACGAACCATAGCCTATCCGAAGTCAAAATGGAAGATAAGATAGTCTTCAAACGCTAACAAGTAATGAGCCTATGACCGTTTTTTTAAGCAAAATGAATCTGGAAGTAACCTCAGCATCATCATCAACCTTTACCTGCCAAAATGACAAAACTTTAGAGACAACGTGGTGGACATGAAATAGGCATATCCTCAATGCAAATCTGTTCACTGGCTAATCCGCTAATGTTAATCATTTAGTTCCTGTCTTTCAAGTTACGGTGTAATTGAGTATTGCATAGCTCAGTGTAGTATGATTTTTACATTCTAAATCGTTAGGTTTTTTCCACATAAGGAGGCTCATAATGAAATATAATTGTACCAATCACTTGTTTGCTGATGTAGTGGGATTTTCAACACTCGTGCACTAACTTAGCCTTCTAAACCAGATTGATTGTTCAACTTATTCTCTGCTATGGAACAGACCATTTAGATTAAGACATGATCACATATGAAGCAGTTTTTACTTGCAATTAGCATAAACTGTGGTTCTTAGAAAACACAGGAAAACCATCAAAATTGCTGCCAGAACGGCCTCGAGTAATTCACCACTGACGATCTGGAATAAAATTCATTCTGAGGGTTTTTTTTTTTTAATGAAGCAATTGTTCTCGATTAAGACAATTATCAGAGTAAGAATTACCTGCTCTATTTTATTTTTTTTTTGGCAGCCTTTCTGTCCCCTCACTATTCCTGCTCTTCATCTTCTTCAGTGGAATTCACCCGAATGATGTAGACCTAAAAAAAATGTGAAGTTACTTCTGGTATGATAAATAGTTTGATAATCAAAGTGAAACTAGTTCAATATTATGTAGTTCTATCAGTAGAAAGACCAAACATGGGCTTAGAAATCTCAAGAATAGAAAATCAAACCGAGCTTATCCATAGAGAACATATGATCATTATCTATATCTAATTATCTATACTAGTTTGATTTAGTAAATGTACTTGAATTCTAATGAATTAAAAGGCATTGTCTCTCATATAAGTGTGTTGTGTGGTATACCAAGTATACGACATCTGTATGAAAATGTTTACTTGGTTACAACATGATTCAGGTGTTATGTTAGGCAGTGAAATTCAGACTGTAGTACTGTAGTAGTAACAAGAACAGAAAGAGACTGAGGTTACCTTAAAGGTAGTTGGTTCAATGAGCTGGAAAACAAGGGCATCTCCATCAACCAATTCATGATCAATAGAAAATCCTCTCCATCCACCACTAAGTCCATTCTTTCTAGCAAGGTACTTGGCCTTCCATTCATCACCATCTTCATCAACTAGAGTGACCATCTCGTCGTCATCTGGAAGGTGGATCTTGCAAAATGGGATAGGAAAACTCTGTATGGCAACAGAGATTTACATAAGTATGTGAGATTTCCCAAGATTTCTTCTTGTAATTGTTGTTCAAGGGCATAGGAAAGGTTGGTTGTCTATTTTAGTACTCCCTATTTTTCTAAATCAGAAAAGTGCTTGTTTTTCACATTTTTTTTAAGCTAAACGTGACATTCAAAATTTAGCTAAAAAAAGTTAGACCTTAGTGTACAAGTGACAATCTTACAACTAAAAATTCGGGCAAAAAGTAGATAACTTTATCCTCAAAAAACATATCCAATGCAACCGTTGTATATTCTATGTGGCACAACATTAACATTTCAACCCGAGTAAATTTAGACTTTTCTTCATTTATGCCGATTCCTCAAAAACCCTAGTAATTCTTTTAGGGGTTGTGAACCAACATTTAAACAATGCAGAAGAAACGGTTTAAAAACTGACCAACCAAAACCCTCCAGTAACATGAGATTGAAGCATTGGTTTGATGAAGGCAGGAAATTCCGAGCCTAATTGTTGTTCAAGTTCTTCAGCTCTCTCAATAGCATAAACCCTATCCTTATCCGAGGCGTAAACTCGATTCAGAATATCCCTTCTCTTGTACTTGTATATCCTAGTAGCAATTTAGCATCCATAAAAAATAGAAAGAACTAGTTTAGTTCATTAAAGTGCTAGATGATACACGACACCTAATATCAAATCTTGTCTATATCATTTGCTCTTTGTGGCTTTCTACGCCCAAAAATAAATAAATAAAAAAAAAAAAAAAAAAAAACCCCGAAAAGTGGAGAAAGTAGAGATGAACTCAACTCACCTTCTAACTTCCGAAATAGGCTCCATTGCATACTGTAAAGGAAAAACAAACAAATTGAAAGAATGTAAAAGGGTTTTTAGAAAAAAATCAAAGGGTATTATAATTTGTACATTGTAAACAAATTGAAAATTAAACCTCTTTGTAATTGGGAGGAGGTTTATCAGCCGTTCGAGACGAACGACGAACAGACGAGACACCGAAATCGCTTGATCTTGCCTTCACCTTCTTGGCCTGAATCATAGAGTAATTTACATGAGAATTGAAAAATGAAATACTAGAAAAAGACATAAACTTTATTAATTAATATGATCTAATTAAAATTACAGGGGAAGAATAATGGGTTTTTCTGGGGGAAGGTTTAAGAGCTTGAGCAAGTTTATGGAGATTAAGTTGCTCCATCCTTTTCTTGTTTTCCTCCAATCTCTGCTTCCTTTTGTCTTCATAGCTTGCTGTTGCTGTCACCATTTTCAACCCGAAACCGAAACCGGAAACGAAAGGAATGACCTTTCTGATTGATGAGTTCTTTCTTCAGAAATTGGTGGAGCTTTTGGACTTACAATGAATTTTTCTGATTCTCAAATTGTGAATAGTACACTTTCTGTATTTAATTCGAGTAAACTTTCTATTTTAAGGCATTTGTGTCTTTTTGAGCGCTACTTTCTACATATTTTGAATTTGAATCTTCCTTTTTTATCATCATTTTATTATGGTGTCTGGATAAGAAATTAAGAAGTAGGCTTATAGCCATTTGGGTTGTGGGTTATATGGTCCATTTAGCAACCAAGCAATTTTGGCTCACATTGTCATTTAGTTACAAGTTTTTTAAGTTGGTCTTCAAGAAATTATCACCCCTTTTGCTAAGTTTTGGTGGTGGTAGACTGGTAGTCGTTCTTTTTTCATAGGATAAAAATCATAAAATTTGGGGAAAAAAAAAAAGAAGAATTATTACAAACGCATAGGGTTGAGAGGCATAGCGTCTCTCAATTCGATTCTTTTGTTCAATGGAAAAGACCCTAATTATGCGATCACTTCCCTTATGGTTATAAATGCGCTTATAGTCAAGTGCAAATGAATTCGATTAACCTTGTGCAATTAGAAAATTGTTCGGCTGCGGAAGAATGATTAATCATCCTTAACATGATTTTTTTTTTTTTTTCTCAAAGTGGCCTTATTATTATTTAATTATCGGTTAGTTTGTTCTTTCAAAATAAATAAATATTGGTTAGTTTGAATAAGTAACATCTTATTATTCTTATATTCTTATGAGTACCTTAACTCCATCATCTACATTCACCAATAATAAATAAAAATTAAATAGGAAAAAAAAAGAAAAAGAAAAAAATAAATAAATAAAAAATAAAGTTTACACTAAGATACCAATTGAGACATACTTTCTGAAATCCAACCCAATTTCACAACAGTATACTATCCAGAATTGGCACCTCTGAAAGCATTGGCATTGCACAATTGCACCTATAAATGCAATCGTACACCTGATCAAAAGCCCCTTACCGATATAGCTTGCATTCCGCTTAGCAGTCCAACAATTCCAGGACATATTCTCAGTCATCTAAACACAAATGTGTCAACTTGCACATTTCAAATACCAAATAAACAAAGCTGCATTAATAACCAAGTTATCAAAAGGAACCCACAAAATACTATGACAAAAATGTTCTTTATTAATAGTTTTTCACTCTGCACGTGTAACAGCAAAGCGAGGTGAACTGTGTAACTGTACAATAATTGAGACTCACATCAACATCTCGAATACTCTCACCACCGTGTTCATATAGACTAATCAAGAAAATTGCTATTCTATTATCAACTATCATGGGATTTGTACTTTGTAGCTATAAAAATAATTGCATCCCACATGAAAAATCAAGGCATAAGAACTAGTTGCGATCTTGTCAACTGCTTCCAGTCTACTTCGAACTCCATGAACACCAGCCATACCTTAAAGCACTTTCTTCACTTGTAAGAAGTCAGGATTTATCTTCTTTGCAGCTTCAACATCTTCCGGAGATGCCACTGCAACCACAACTCCTTTATCTTTGACTACATCAACTGCATCTGCAAATTCCTTGAAGTCCTTTACACTGCACAACATAAACAATTTTCATAAGATTCCACCATCACTGTAGAACTTTAGGACCTACCCAAAGAGTCCAGGGAAAGTCTAGCACAACTAAATAGTATTTGCGTCAATGTGATATTATTTCTACTGCAAAGTGATTGAAAAAGCCTTTCTGCTGGTCTTGATATTCAAGGGTTACGCCATATGCATCTTGAACCCCATTCTGCAATCCGCAGTGGATGAAGGCAGTCTAGTCTTTCTACTAATTCAAAATTTGTATAAAATGTTCGTAGCATATCCAATATTACCTTGTTGAAAGTATCTCCTCACGTCTTTTTTCTCTTTCTTCTTCTGTGACTCCCAACAAGTGCCGTAACATACTGGAAAAGTAATTGGAAATTGATCAGTATTGATTATTGAATACCTTTCAATAAGATAAAGCATCTCACAAAAACCAGGTCATACCTAAAACTGTTTTTCTCAAAGTCCACCAGAATTAAAACTACCAAACAAAAAACTAATATTTGACCTCATACTCTTCAAGTGACAAATTAAGCAGTGATAGCAAGTAAAACTTATCCCCAAACTGCCTCATAATCAGCAAAGATGCCACAATTAATTTTAAGAAGCCATAAATAAAACAAATAAAGTAAAACAAATAAAACAAAAAATACGGTGCCAGTAGTTTAGAGTATAACTGTATTCCTCAAGAATACATCTTCCAACTGGATAACTTATGTTTCCTTTTTTTCCCCCTCATGTTCAAAACAAGAATAGCCAAATTAATTTTTGGAGCAAGGAGCTTCTAAGTGGCATTTAACTTCAAACTGACTTATCCAGACTGAACGCAGCCATGATACTGGCCTCCTCATTTTACAATTTAATATACTTCAAGAAAAATGAACATGCAAATTCATCTCGATAAACAAGGAAGTGAAGGAACCATCTACCTCTCCATAACAAGAATTGGACATTACCTGCTATAACCTTTGGCATCAGGTAGTTGATATGAGTCAACATCACCAATGGTCCCAATAATTGCCTTGGCGAGAGCTTCATTATCTAATTCCAACCCACGGAGGAAATCACCCGTTCCATCATAAACTTCGAGTGTTTTTAGCAAATTTGGATCTCGATAGGACAAATATGTGAAAACCCCTGGAAACATGACAGATGTAAGAAGTGAAAACAGCCAGAACCTACAGCTTATAGATGTTACTCAAGCTCACAGCATATATTAGTCACCTGAATGAGTATCAAAGTCACAAAAGCCTCCATAAGCACCGCCACTCACTCGTACACGGTCCCACAACCATGTATTACTGATATATTTCGAAATGACATAGGCACTTCCATTGAGCTTATAACCATCTCCATATACATTCGCAGCTTTTCCAACATAATTGACCTAAGGAGGAACAAAAGGAATCGTTCATCACTTGCAATTAAACATAAAACCAAAAATATATGTACTAGCACATACATGATGGATTAAAAAATAAATAAAAAAAAAACAATGGAAATTACTTGAGTGGGTATCACAATGGCTTCATTATGAGAAGAGAGTTGAGTATTCCACTTATTTGGTTCAGAGGAGAAGTCTGGAAGTGAGTCAAGAAATTTGCCAATATACTTTTCTGAGTTTGTAATATTTTTCCCATCAGCAGTCAAATTTACCAAGCAATGCTTCTTTGTAAGTAAAGATTTGCGAATCTCTTCCAGAGAGAGAGAAATTCCTTCCCAATCCTTATCAACTTTCTCTTCCAGGTCTCTCAAGAACTCAAGGTAACTAGAGGCACACCACAAAAAGATTACTTTCATATCAAAACATAGGAGAAATTTATTGTAAGCTGGAATCCAGTTTACAGTATTAATTTTGCAAAGGAGGATAAGATGTACAGTAGAATAATTACGGTACTGATGTGAAAGAAGACATGGTCTCACCTGACACCACCCATTTGCTCAGAAATCCAACCGGCAGCATTCAACTTTGCATCCATCCTTGCAGCTGCGATCCCATGACCACTGCCCCTTAATCGATTCTGAAGACAAGTTTTTTGGCTATAGTATAAGTACAAAAGCTATTGCTTCCTTGAATAAAGATCAAATGACCAGTTTATCAACAAAGTCTTAAAAGATGAATTGTAGTAATAGATACCTCCATTCTTGCTTTACTCTGAGAAACAAATTGCTTGAAGCGCTGTTGATCATTGAACTGAACCTCCTGAAGGACAAGATTCATCTAGAATATACAAGAAACCAAATTAGTATAAGTTTGTAACAAAGGCAACAGTTGGCTTGTAAGGGCAAAGGAGAAGTTAATGTTGTGGTGTAATGCTTTTACGGAGATTCAGTGGCATTTGTGGTTAGAAGGGAATGCGCATGTTTTCTCAATAACTGAATAAACACCCAAGTATACACTATACATACATTAACACTGACCTTATATTCTTACTAGTATATAAAAATCAAATATTAGTGCATAATTCTTCATTCTTTTTAATATTGCAACATGGGAAGGAGGGGGTTTACATTTCCCAAAGCAAAATTTAAATTTTAAATACTCTATCCTTAATTACATGATAATTACCATTGTATGATAATTACCATTATAAATTGTTGATATTGTGATAGTATATATCAAGATGAATCTAACAAGACCCACTTGACTATGCTTTTCCTTATGTCAATATGACTCACAATATGTGGTTACAGAGTAGTATGTGAATAGAGTCAAAAGTGCTAAGTTGCAAATATTGCAATATTTAAAGAACAAATGAAGTATACTGTTGGCTTAGTCTCAATGTATAATTTTCAAATCCCAATTTTTTGATAAGCTTTACTAATTAAAAAGCATATATTTGAGCGGTCAAACTTATGCATTAGCAAGCGTGTCAGTCACACTATTGCAAACATTCAAAAATAGAGGGAGTACTTATCTAGCATCTTTGTAAGATAAGCCAGTGGGAGCGTTTAACAGTCAGTGAATTAGAAAAACTGGGATATTTTGTAATATGAGGATTTGCCCTACATTTCTGGATTCTGGGTGACTAGGGTTCATGAAAATGTAGCGTACCAGATTGAAAAGGTCTTCAGCACGTTCAGCCATTGCTTTCCCTCTGACAATCAGCTTAGCACACAGGTCCTTACTATCCCTTACAGATGATGAAAAAGGGTAAACAGATATTCCTCCTGTTCTCCTTCCAATTAATTGATTAAGTTGCACAAAATCCATGTCTTTGGTACCCATCTCCAACAACGATTGACTGCATAGAGTATGGAAAGAATTAAAGCTCAGGACTGAAGAAAAATAGTAATCATGTGCAAACGGAAGGCATCATTAAATTAAAATTAAAGTTGAACAAAGAATTCAATAAGAAGAGACAGCAAACAATTTCACCATGATTAACAAGTTTTCACTATGTAAGTAATCTTACCAAAATAAAGGTACATATTGGAGAAGCTCATGTTTCAAGGTACTCATATCAAATACAACTTCAGTGTAAATGACATCGTTTGTGAATAAGTCATGCTGCAGAACAGTCACACCATTGATATTTCCAATCTGCAAGAGAAAACGCTTAGATTTTCAAATAAAACGATATGACAGAAAACTACCCCCAAACACACTAAAAATGAAAAAAGGGAGTCCAACCTCAGTGGGAATATGAATGGGCTTTTTTGGGATGTCATGCAAAGATAGACATGGAACACTCCGCAAAGCTTCAGGTGGATCTGGAGTTTCCTGCTTTAAGCGCAACTCTTGAGTAGCACGAACCAATTCTGCCAGATCTTCCTCTGTCATACTTGCCTTGAGCTTCTCCAAAGATTCTCTTTCAACAGCTTCATCATGAGCAGCCTTCTCTGGATCAGGCTGGCAGCAACAGTGTTAGAATCATATGAAAGCTGATAGAGCAACCTGTTTATGATTTATTGATTTGTGCCATAAATGCAGAATAAAGGAGATGTAAATTGCAATACTCACCTGCATTTCAACTGTTACACGGTGAGGGTTTTTCAGAATATACTTTTCAATTAAAGGAGAGAATACAGCTTTAGAGCCTTCTGCTGCTACTCTTTCCTTAAGCTTCATCAGTGGTTTCTCCCACCTCAATGGCTCAAAGGGGTCCATATCATAAATCCATTTCCCCTACACCAAAAAAAAAAATAAAAATAAAATAAATAAAAAAAAGAAGAGAGAGTAAGTTGCAATAGTGAGGCATAAATATTAACACAATTTATTTTCTAAGGGTTACGGGCAGTCAGTCTGTCATAATTTAAAAACTCTCATAATAGAGCCATATTTCTTACAATAGACCGAAGCATTAAGGATAGTCCACGTGGGAAGGAGCCAGTGTTATTTTCCCTCAGAGAGAACTCAATAGTATTCATGGACGCCTCTATAGCATCTGAATTGAAACCTTCTTCTACCAATTTTTTAAGTGTTGTTACCACTAGTTCTTCTACTTTTTGAATGTCCTCCTCTTGAACACCCTTCAATCCAATACTAAACTGAGGCTGCAAAAGATCATCATCAATGCCACCTCCAATGATAGCTTCTCCAAGGCCACTCTCCAGCAAGATTTTCCTTAAAGGAGAGGCTGGTGTTCCCAACAAGAGGTGATCCAAAAACGCAATTGCAAGCTCGGTCTCCAAATCTAGAGGCTTTTCAGACAGCAACCAATTAAGACAAACCATGTGCCTTTTCTTCAAATCCTCACCATCACCAGCAGGATACTTCTCTGTAATCCTGACAGGTTCTGAGAAAAGTTTTTGCGGTTGAATTTGTGAGTCATTGGGAGCTGAGCTCTCATCGAACTTATCTAGATATTCTGCAATGAACATTCATTCACCAGATGAATGTCAGATATACAAACTAAGTGAAACCGATGGACAAAGGGCTCCATCAGAAACAAAGCTCAACACTGACTGCAAAGACAAGCATGGCATACCACTCAAGAGGCGAAGACGCTCATTTGGATCATCATCTCCATAAAACCATATCCTTGCATTGCTAGGGTGGTAAAATCTTTGGTGAAATTCCTGTTCATATGTATCACATTAGCAAAATGCATCAAATTAAGCGGCAAAAATAGGATTGATTTGAGGCTCAATAAAATCACATTTGAATGTCACATACCTTAAATTTCTCAAAGGTGAGCTTGGGAATGACATTAGGGTCTCCACCACTATCTACACCATAGGTGTTGTCTGGAAAGAGTGCCTAAATTGACACCAAATAAGCATTCTTTGACAAAGATGTCTTTGTAAAGCAATTATAATATACTTTAGGCATTGCTATACAACAACCAGTCCTTTCCCAAAATATTACTTGAACAATACCAAAGAGAAAGCATGGTATAAAAGTTAGGGACAAACCAAAAATGAAAATGGGCAAAAAACAGGAAGAGAGGAAGTACTATGTTTTATAATTAGCTTTTCAAAGTATTAATATAGTCCTTTGTCTCTATATGTATTTCACACTAGCTTTGTAAAGATATCCCAAATTATATTTCACAATTCTCTTTTGGGTTCATAAACATCTAGTTTGTTCCCCAAATACCTTTACAACCACAAATATCAATTAATGCTTTCCTTTCTTTCCCTAAGAATGTCACTATGTGTGTTAACCCTATAGTGAAAAACAATAATGGGTAGGGGGGAAACTAAACAGCCAAGGATTGCCATCAGTACAATAGCATAACAAAAATTGAACAAAAAAAGTTGTTTATTGTTGAAAGTCTCTTTATATAAATAATAAAACATGTTAAATGGGTCAATAGCTCAGCACAACTAACATAATAATCAAGGGGGGAAAAAAAGTCAAGTTAAAGTTGAGCATTCTATCTTGTTTAATTAAATGGATATCTTAGTGTCAAAAAATTACTCAGACAATACCAAATCTTATTTGGCATGGAAGCAAAATAGTTGATAGTTCACCATGTGAAGTCAAAATTATTACTAATAAATCATAAGACACCTCAAAATCAAGGGAACCAACTTTTTCATTTGTAATAACAAGGTAACTAAATGTAAATGGGGAAAGTAAAATCAGTGAAAGACATGCCTGTTGAGCAGTGCGACCTAAAACATTATCTGGCTGGGAATAAACACCCTTCATCTCATTAAAGACAACACCTGAAATCCGCATTTTAAATTAATCAACAAAAACAGAATTAGAAGTTTAAAGAGATTATTCATGACATCACCAACACCATGACATGAATTATGGATTAATCAGAAAATTATTGGAATCAAAAGTGATATAAACAAATAAACAGCTGAAACCTTTATAAGATATTGGTTCTGAAGGATCATTAAGCTCATAATGCCAGCCTTCTTGTTGGAAAGTCCATTTGTCCTCCACACACTTGGGAAAGAACACCGCATCCAAGTAAACATCCACCAGATTATAGAAGTCCTGTTTGACATGCAAATCAATATGAATTACATGCATGAGTCTAAGGATGACATCAAAAAATTATTCCAGGAAAAGCACATACCTTGGTATTAGTAGATGCAACAGGATAGCAAGTCCTATCAGGATATGTAAAAGCATTCAGAAAGGTATTCAAGCTCCCTTTCAAAAGTTCAACAAAAGGTTCTTTCAGAGGGTACTTTCTGGAACCACACAACACACTATGTTCTAATATGTGAGGAATCCCAGTCGAATCACTCCTGCAATGACAGACAAAAAATTATAAGGCGACTGGGACACAATAACGGCAATAAGTACCCCAAATATAAGCTTAAAGCAGCTTAAGTTGACCTTTAATGCAGCCAAGGGTTGACATTAGTACAATAGCATACCCCTGTACTAATGAGAGGAAACAATTTCAACAGCGAAAAAAATAGAAGGTTTCAAGGACCACTTGAATAATTGACATAATAATTAAGCTAAAGAGCGCTAGAATACTCTCCTTGATGATTGGGCATGAAGCAGCTTAAGTTGATTTTTATTACAGTAGTCAGTAACAGGAATCGGCCAAAGCTAACAAGGACATATATTCAAAGCCTAGGATCCTCTCCTATTTTCCAAGGGAAAATCTTCTAACCTTTATCTGGACTTTCACATTATGTTAGAATTCAGAAATCCGGAAAATCCCCAACCTTGTACAAGTTCGGCATCTATGTTCATCGCGTAATAAACTAGGGTACTACTTGATAGATTTCAGGTTCCCTACTCAACCCCACTCAAAGTTTACATCAAACTATCAAACGCGCATTATCTTGACCAGCAATGTAACATAAAGCAGCACAAAGCAAGCCAATAACAAGAGCAAATACATGAGCTACGCCCCTAACCATATGCTCGGTGGCAAGAACAATAACATACGCAAGTAACATTGCATATAGCTGAATTGATAACCATAAGATAAGACGAATATAAAGAAGTGTTCAACTTACGGTGGAGTACGAAAAACAATTCCAAAAACCTTATTCTCATCATCATTCGAAACCGACATAACCTGAGCACCAGTTTTCTTATGCTTATACAACACAGCTTTCGATTTACACTCATCAATAAACTGCTCCGCAACCTTCTCAAATCCAAGCTTCTCCGCAAACTCAACATCATGCTTCCCAAATTCTACACCACCAAAAACATCCACCGACCAATCAATCAATCAATTACTTACTGAAAACAATTTAATCCTTACGAGTACAAACCTGAAGTAGCGGCGGAGTCGGAAGTCGCAACAGCTGGAGGAGAGAGAGTCGAGAAAGTAGCGCGACGGCCGCCGGAGTACGGAGACGGCGGCGGAGGGAGGGGAAGAGATAAGGAGGAGATAGGGCGGAGAATGGAGTGGTGGCGGAGGAGAGAGGCTGGTTTGGAGAAATTAGGGTTTTGGCTATGGAAATTCCGGCGAGTTAGGAGGCGGCGAGTTGCGGCGGAGAAGAGGCGAGTTGGAGTTGAAGAGGAGAGAGAACGGAGTAACATTGCTCTCTCCATTGGTAAACACTGAGGTTGTGATAATGAAGCCACAATTTTATGTTTTTATGAAATGAAATGAAATTATTTTATTTTTTTTTGGGATAGAAAAGTGGAGTGGAGTTTTCTGCAAGAAAACCAGTGAACAAATTATACAAGTAGTATATGATAGTTTAATCCTTGATTGGATTTAAAGGGTAAGAGTTGTAAACTTGTAAATTTGGTGTTTGATTGATGATTTGCTTGGTTTGGAGGTTTGAAGCTGTTTGTGGATATTTGGAGACCACGTTTTTTGGCTCCTAATATTTGTGAGAATTTGAGATATTTTTTCCTCCATTTTTTCCTTATATTGTCTTTTGGTGTTGACATACTTGAAGACTTGGAGTAACGCAAGATCGTCTTTTTGAAAATTCGATCATTAAAGTTGATTCACAAAATTCATTATTTCATACGAGTACTAATTTTACGTTCAAAAGTTTCTCCTTTTAAACAATTTAAAACACTAAGTAAGATAGCATATTATGTATAGAGTACCACAACACTGTGTTGTTTACAAAATAAAATATACAAATTGGAATGGGAATTGGAGTTTGTGGGGGATTTGATGCTAAAGGCTCAGCCTCTTTAATTTGACTAATTATCAATAAAACTCCATTGATATTTTGAGATGATTAGAATGTATAGACAACTAAACTAAGAGGAATGTGAAACGACTAAAGGTGTGTTTGATTCACGTAGGGTAAAAGGAGTTGATTTAAGAGATAAAGAGGGAATTGAAGGTAGTGTCTAGGCATTCACCTCCTTTCTTGCTTCACCATTGCACCATCGCTTTTTCCCCTGTTCCTGTGATGTTGTCACCCTTTGTCGTCGCTACCTCGCTGTCCCCACTCCTCTCTACCATGGTTTTGGGGTGGTTGTTGGTTGTTTTTGGAGAGGAGGTTTCTCCTTTGGGCTAGGGGGAGGGGGGTTTGAGATAAGGTAAAGATGCATTGAGAGGGTGGTGTGATTTTGAGTGTTTGGTGGGTGGTTACGAGGCGAGAAAATGGTTGGGGTGTAGTTTTCATGGTGGTTGGATTGTCATGAGTGGTGGTAGGATGGCGCCGATGAAGGTAGAGACTGTGTTTGGATGGTTTGTGGTAATTGGTGGTGCTAGCAAAGTAGTGTGTTGGGTATGGTGGTGAATGGGTGGTGTGGTGTTGTATGAGAAAGGGAATGGAAATACCACAGCGGATTGGAAATCATGGTAGAGAGGAGTGCGAGAAAGAGGGAAGGGAGTGTCATGGCTTGATTGTAATTGCTTTGATCTAAATTCATTTCATTGTGGTTTTATGGTTTTTATTTTCCTAAACCTTTGTTTGAGACATTCATGATCTCATCTAAATTTTGTTTGTAGTTAAGGAGGGGAGAATATTTTACACATGATTTATTTTAAATTTACATTTTCTAATATTTTAATCAATTTGTTGATAGAAATTTAAATGCCGCAAAGGGTGAATCTCTAATGTTCATAGTGCTTTAGCTTGTCTTCGCCTTCTCAATGCTCAATGTCCTTGGTGGTTTGTGTCAACCTTCTCATTGGATGCGTGCCCTATGGCTCTTCCTCATCTGGTCCTTTAGCTTCCTTGGGAAGCTTTGTTTTCAACGACTTTCTTAAAAAGCCTTGTTTTTCTCTTATGTATTTTTTTCCCTTTAATTTTTTTCCTGTACTTTTGGCTATCTTTATATGATAGACCATTAACAAAGAAAAATTTGTAATCCGCAATTACGCATCCAACCCAAAAGATCCATACTCATTTAAGAATTAAATCAACCATCCACCTTTCTAAAAGGAATCATTAGATAATTCATTTAAACAGGTCGGATTTCTTTCCAAAAACCTTAATTTGGTGTTTCCTTAATTCAGCAAAGGCAAAGCGCGGGAAAATGAAAATTCCCAGACAATCTTTCCCTCCTTCCCTAAACAGCACCAATAAATACTCAATTAAAATACTCACCAAAAAAAAAAAAAAAAAACTGCTCAATCAATTACAACACCCTCTTTCTTTCTCTTTCTAAAACCCTAAAACCACCGTACAATCGTCGTACTCCGGTCACCGGGATACCATTTCCCGGTGAGAAAAGGATATTAAAAGATGTTTTATTCGCATACTTTCTTGGCCCGAAAAGGCCCGCTTGGTACTGTTTGGTGTGCTGCTCATCTTCAACATAAACTCAAGAAATCTCATTATGCTTCCACTGATATTCCTTCCACTGTTGGTTAGTTTCATATTTCTTTAATTTGATTTTGATATTTTGATTTTTTGATGTTGGCAAAAAAAAAAATATAAATTAAATTTTTTTTTTTTTTGGTTGTTGGTTAATTTTTTTTTTTTGGTTGTTGGTTGTAAAGCAAGTAACTTGAATGTTTTTTGCCATTATCAATGTAATGATGAATTGTATTGGAACCAATAATTTACTTATTTTTCTATGATTATGGTCATAATTGTACGGTATGAGGCCGATTTACAATAATTTAATTATGAGATTGTAGTGATTTTTTTAAATGTTACTAGAGTTCTTTTTGGTCCAAGAAATTGTTTTTGATTGATTAATTACAGATTTGAGAGTTCTTGAATCTTCATTTTACATTTTATGGAAGGATTGGCGAAATATTTGTGTTTTATGCATGAAGATTCAATTTTTACCTAAGTGGAGCCTTTTATTTTGTAATGGTTGAGTATTAGTAGATAGTGATTATGTTAATGGTGACTGTTTTATAGAGAGGATTATATGTCCAGAAGTTCCAATTGCACTCAGAATGTCAGGACATCTTCTATTGGGTGTTGTTCGGATATATTCAAAGAAAGTTGAGTACCTTCATCATGATTGCAATGTTCTTTGGGTGAGTTTGAGGAATGCCTTTCGCCATGTCGATGTTAATCTGCCTGAAAACGCTAACCAGGCTCAGTTTAATGCCGTCACGTTGCCGGAGACTTATGCACTTGATGCTTTGGACTTGCATGATGATATGACCCTTAACGATGGGTGAGCTTGTTATTTCGTTCTCGGGCTCATTTTATGTGCAATGGAGTTTCACCTTTGAATTTATGTTAATTAACTGTGATTTTGCTTGCTCAGATTCCAGGATGATCACCATAGAAGCCAAGAGGATATAACACTTAAAGGTTGCATTTTGCTACTGTCAGTATTTTGTCATTTCCATAATTTTTCAAACTTCTAATGTATTGATATCAGCTTTCTGAATGTTATACAGATCAGTATCATTCTGAAAGAGAGCTTTATGTCAGGATTACATTTGACGATGTAATGTGTTTCCTTTTCTTTTCCTATAACACACTGTTGCAAGAAACTTCATGTTTATAACAATGATATGCTACGTTTGTACCTAAGATTGCTCTTGTATTATCTATGTTATAAGCATGTCATGGTTATAAACTTGGCAAAGACTTGCTGTTGCTGCGTCTTTCTTGGCTTCTATTCTTTTCCCTCTCTTGGAAGAAATTAACATGTCGAAATTGATTTCTGTAGGATATCATTCCAGGCTCAATGGACTCCGAGCACAGGGAGGAGAGTGATCCGATGCAGATAGAGTAAGATGTTTACTGATGTCTATATATTGGTATATAGGAGTATCCTATTTTTATGCTCTTTGTGAAACTAAAAACTCGACATTTACTTATCCCCTCATTATTGCAGCATTCCTCCTGAAGTTCCTGCTCCACCCATCCCCAGTCCTGATATTCACAATGGCGAAGGTCCCAACCAAAGTGAAGAACATGGGAGACCTGAGGGCGAAACTGTTCCACCATTTGAGGTCATGCGTGATGCTACTGACTATGATGTCCATGTGCCCAGCCCGATTCTGCGGCCACATAAGGAGAATGTTGACCCTAATATTAACATATCTCCCCCGAAGGACATGACTGAGAAGGAAATTGATACTCCACCATCAATTCCAATGCCTTCTCATGAACCACTGCAGTATAGTGGTCCTTCATCTCCCCCAACTGAAGCTCATGTGGATACTGATCCTCTTGGTGAGCACATTCATCCTTTTGAAATTAATGTACAAAGAGGTGCAGGAGCCACTCAAGACTGAACACTTTATGATTTTTTTTTTTTTTTTTGTAAACAGCAATTGTTCCATCGACTGGGTTGGCACTCCGTCCAAGTCCACCTCCTGAGCAGCCTCAACCTCGCAGGAGAAACAGAAAGAGAAAGCAGCTGTTTGATGAGTCTCTGGTTTTGACTAATGAGTATGATTACCTGTTCCATTAGGCTACCTTTTCTTTCCCCTTTATATATTGCAGTTGGATTCATGAGTTTGTATTGCAGGGCTTTGAAAAATGCACTCAATGATTGCTCTGATTTAGTGAAGAAGAAGAAGAAATTGCCTTGTTCTGCTTTGGAAGTATGGAGGTTTAGTGAGAAAAAGAAGAAGAATGAAGAGGTTTTCTCTGAGCCACTGATATCTGGTAGGTAGTCTCACAAATGTAGTTAATAGCATATGATGGTTTTCTCTCTGCCTCAACAATATGTAATGGATGAAAAAACTATGTTATGTTGCAGGAATGGGTGCCAATCTCCAGAATCTTTTAAGCAAAGACTTAAAAATTTCACACCCGAAATTGCCTGTGACAGAAGAAGCTCAGTTGGAGTCTAGGGAAGCAGAATCTCCTGCACATACTCCCAATGTTGGTGATGAAATTGAGCGTCTCCGATCAGCAGATCTTGAGCCTGGGCACAACATTGAGCAATTATTTCCTTCCTCCCCACTATTAATGTCTCCACAGGCCCATACTGCAGCAACTTCCTCGTCCCCAATAGTTCCCAGTTCAGTTTCAGAGCCTAGATTTGGAACTACTGATACGCAATCAGATATGGGTATGTATACCCGGTCTGCTGGCACGGAGATGGAAACACCAATCTTGAATTTCGAGGATAGAGATGATGATGGAGGTACTGCTCTATCAGACATTCCTGAGTCAAGAGCTTCTATGGAAGCAGATGTAAGTATTCTGAACTACTCTCTTTTGCGTTGGTAGAGAAAGGCCTTAGAAGGGAAAGAAGATAATACGGAGTACAAAGGAAGCCACAATGATAATAAAAGGAGAAACATTTGTTCTTTTCTATTTCTGAGGCAGGAGACGGAATAAAGTTAGATTATTAGAGAATACCAAGGCAACTGTTCTTTTAAGGAAGGGTTACAGTGTTACACAGTCTAGTTCATCCTTGTGCAACACATTCAAGAATGAACACATCTTGTAGCACTCTGCTACTCAACAACACAGACACCCAGCAGAATTTAGGACTAGTGGCTTAATACACTATCGCTATCTCCTCAGTGCACTTTTCAGTTGATCAACCTTATTGTTCCATATAACTACAATTTGTGCCAATCTTTTGTATGGAATTACCGGAATAGTGAATTAGGACACAGTTGACTAGTTGCACTCTCTTAGCACAGGCCCAGTTCCTGCCCCCCTATTAATTATTTCCTGCCTCTACTTTTCAACAAGCTTGAACACAATTAGCCACTGCTCATCTCTTACAAGAGTTAGGCACCTCTGGTTCTTGAAAGGCAAGCAAGGAAACTTGGTTTAGTCTTTTGACTTCTTCATTTCCAAAAATTTAGCAGATTCTTCCTTATTTTCTATCAAGTACCAACCTAATCAGCTGTAAGTAGGCTAGAACTTAAGCCAAGCCCCTAGGCACCATGGCCAAGAAAGCTCAATCACGTCTCATAACCAACACCTAACATGATAAACCCAATGAATATAGGAGGAAGAATGTAAGCAACCAATAGATCCTTGGCAGCAGCCACTGAACCCTATAATCCCTATTGAATGCTATTATTAGGATTACTTTTGATTAACTTTTATGGCACACCTAGGAGGGATACACCTGTTTCAACAGTGCTTAAGGATGTTCCGGCAAGCTTTAAAGTTTTGCAAAGGCCTGTTCTCAACAAATGCTAAACACAATTAGCTAGCTCATACTTGAGTCCCATTGCACAACGATGTCTATCTTTATGGGTCTCATTATAGTAATTGGCTTCATTCGTTAGTCTGAAAGACAACTTACTGACAAATTTCAATATAACTTCCAGTGTTATACTTTTAGTCGTAGGGTTATTTTGATATTCATCTACCATTTCTTTATTTGTGATGTAGCATTGGAATTGTATCCTATGGGTCATTGTTTTTTGGATTTAGTTAAATTTAGTTCAAATTCTAAAATGATCTTCACTGCCATGCTTGCATTTCTGAACCTTTCTAAAAGTTTTCACCTTTGACATGTCCAAATGAAGTCTTTAATTCTTGGCAGAGGCATCTTTAAAGCTACTAAGCTACCTTTAGCACACTGTTAGTAGTTTTGCCTATCATTGCTGAGACACCTGCCTATTTGTATTGCAGGAGCTCTCTTTTTTGGAACTAGATAACAACAGCCCCAATGGTAAGCTGCATGTTTTACTATATTAATAATTGCTCACATCTGGCCAGTTATAGGCATTTAATATCCAATTCTAGAATTGTGGTTAACATTAGCTTTCTGTATCAGATTCTCAAGGGGCTCAAACGGGAGATGCCATGTCTGCGAGGACCAGGTCACCATTATGTTTCCTAAACATTTTAGGCTTCATTAGCATTTTGGGCTGAATACTGTGAGATTAAACTTGTGTTTTTGGGGTGCAGGGCAGTGGCTCAATTTCTGAAAAATCATTCTCCTGTATCCAACTTCGCAGATGGTTCTGATAATTTAAGTTTAAGCACCATATTGGAAGGGAGACGAAGGAAGTTATGTGCACGGATGTTTTATGAAACTTTGGTAAGTCTTAAAATGCTACTTCAAGGTTTTCTTGGATTGGATTAGGACTTTAGGAGTACCTCTCAGGTTCATGAAATCCCTCACTGACTATTTGATTGAACTTTTTATTTTTTGTGCTACACTGTGACAGGGATTGTCTCTTATTGGTCTGTTCTTATTTCTAAGCTTTCCCCTAGTATTAGCTGCCTAAACCCTAAAGATGGACAGTTATAACTATGAGAAATAGTGTATTTCATCAAATCAGTTGATTAATATATACATAAGAATTCAAGATTCAACGCAAAATGATTTAGTATTTCATTAATCACATTTCTGATGGTTTCCGCTGACTTCAGGTTTTGAAGGATTGTGGATTGATTGACGTTCAACAGGATGAGCCCTATGGGGATATTATATTGAAGCTGACTCCTACTATCTCTAAAGCCCAGCTATGAGGCTGCATCAGATGAATTGGTGTTTATCCCTGATAAACCATATATACAGGTATTATCTCTATGGATTTACTAGTGACCACCTTAAATGAGCTTGTAGGGAGATTCTGTCTTGGTCATATATTGATTTGTTTATGCATAGAAGTTCGAGTTTGTTTGTTCTGTCCATGTGCTCTGATTTCTTTCATTTTAGTTTTTCACATCAGTTCATCTACTTAAGGTCATCAAACTGTGATATTCATACGCTAAACTTTTGGTGAGACTAATAAGGTGTGTGATTAAATTTGCAGAAGTGTACCGCAGTTCGAGTAAAAACTTTTGTTCAATTATAAATAGGGAGGGATCGTTGCACATAATAGTTGATACCATGACAAGATGCTGATTGCTTAAGTATTGCAACACAGCTCTTTCCTGTAATAGGAAATGTTTGTTGTAGTTTGTAGTGTTCTTGATGTTTAGAAGCCTAGAAGGTCTCTTTTTGTAGTGCTACCATATCAGGTGTAACTTGTAGGTTAATGTTAATGATAACTTAAGCTTGTTATTTATTATTTGCTACTCACAATGCTTGATTATTCGCTTGTTAATTGTTTAACCACAATTGCAATTCTTGCATTATGAATTCAATAATTTACGCTAAATTCAAACCAATTAGATACAAAATAATTGCAACATCAACAAAAAGAAAACACGTTAGAAATGCCTTAACTCAGCACACGGACCGAAAGCATTGCATTAATTATAATTATTAGAAAGGCATAGTACAACAATGTCATTTATTATCAGTCTAAAATTCAGAAAACCCAGCTACTACTGCATCAGCTAAGATGAGTTGAGGAATGCAACAACCTGGTCCATAAAAGGGGCAGCATTGGGTGAACCAGGGGTGAGCAAATGGAACACATGGTTCTCACCAAGTGTCTCCACCACTTCAACATTAGCCTTGCAGCCACTCTTTAGCAGGACCTCCTTGTAGTGGAAACCCCTGTCCCTCAGGGTATCCAACTCCGCCACGCACACCATCACCTTCTCTACAGCCAAATCCGCCAAATCCGGGTCTGTGGCCGGGTTTATAAGCGGATCATCTGACCCACTTGTTCCGGGGCATGTGAATTTCCAAACCTTATCAGCCAGTCCCCCTCCAGAAGCATTGATCTTCTGAACCTCAGACCCAATTCTATCCTTACCCCAGAAATATGGGTGGAGCAGGAGAATGCCTTTCAACCCCAAGTTTTGAAGCTCTTCTTTTCCTAGCCGCTTGGCCATATGATGCGCTATATTCGCACCAGCACTGTCCCCTGCCAAGAAAACTCGAGACAGATCAGCGTGATCCTTAATCCAAGGGTGAACATCTTGCCCAACCCAATTAATAGCAGCCCACGAATCCTCGTAGGCAGCAGGAAGAGGGTGCTCAGGAGCCAACCTGTAGTCCACAGACACAACCAACACATTGGCCTTAGAACATAAGCCATTCAGATAATTATGGTACAAAGGTGACGCAGCTGATTCAACACAAAATCCTCCTCCATGGAAGTAAATCAACACTGGAAGCCGAACCCCGGCTCCTCCTGCAGGCTTGTATAACCGCACCGAAACGCCACCTTCTTCCTCCGGGAGCACAGCCACGTCTAGGGACTCCACCCCCGTGACCGTGTCGGTCGAGGCCGGAACACGTTGGGTGCCAGTGAACCTCTGCACCCTTCCATCTTTGTAAACCACAAGAAATGGACGAAGATCATGGGTTAAATCTTGTACATTTACAGTAGCCATAGCTTTCATTGCTTCTTCCATTTTTTTTTCTATCCTCTATTTTTAATAATTGGTTGTTTTAACTGCTTATTTTGGAGTGTCAATAATTTGGTTGCCTTTGCCCTCTTTTATATTCAACGTGTGGTGTTAACTTGAGCAAGAATTTCCTGATTTTTTTTTTTTTTTTTTTTACAGACCAGATTTTCAGAATTATCTATCATTTTTATCTTCTTTTCTATCAAGTAAACGTGACTCATTTGACAAGATGAGGATGCTTCAGGGGTGGAGTTTTCTTATCTTTCCCCTATATCTGTAAAGTACATGGCTCGTAAATATTGGGAAAATTAATCAAACTAAGCTTAATTACAAAACAATTTTTTAAAATAGACTCGTGGTCAAACTATTTATCAAACTAAGCTTTTAGGGTAAAACGCTGTCTCTTTATAAAATTTCTAATATAAAAAATGAAATAAAATTTCATACAGCGTTTCACTAACTTATTTTTATTTTTTTAAAAAATCAGATACTATTGCCATGCAGATTATGATTACTACTACTGTTGTACTATTGTAGCCTCTAATGTAGCCGACCTAATAAACTTGCCTTTTCATATTGTATTGAAGACTCTTTTCCGCCCCCCCCCCCTTTTTTTTTCACCTTATTTTTCTATCTTTATTTATTCACTAATTATAAATTGTTACTATATTTCGTTTTGAATTAGTTGTTGAAAAGTGTTTGATTTGAAAGTTCATAATTGACAATTATCTAAGTATGGACTAATATATATGGTTACTATAGTTTTTTTTAAATAAAAAGGAATATAAAATAAGCTTAAATAAATTGCAAATTAACGATGAGAAAATCTAATGGGACTATCAAATATCAATGTTAATATGATTTAATAACCACATTTTATAAACACATGTAATGATGTAATCTATTGGTCATCATTAATAAAGACCCCTAAAATTAGAATAAGCATTAGGAAGGAATTCAATAAGGTTAAATGGTTAGCATATTGTTAAATGATTAATTAGTAGTCTGCTTCCACTTAAAAATGAGTCATACTTTTATTTTAAAAAAAAAACGAGTCATATTTTGAGGGATGTTTCTTTACTTTCTTTAGGTACTTGAAAATTTATTTTATTATTAGTCATCCAATTATATAATAATGCATAACTTAAAACCTCAATTATTATCCATTGGCTAATAACAATAGAGAGCAAAAAAAAAACAATTTAATAAATTCTAATCAAATCATCTTATTCGAAAAAAAAAAAAAAAAAAAATTTATTCTGAATTAGCACATTTGTATGAAAGAACACATGCAAATATCAATAGTATCTGATTTTTTTAAAAAAAAAATAAAAAATAAAAGTAAGTTAGTGAACTAACTTATTATTTTTTTTTATTTAAATCAGAAATTTTTTTTAAAAAAAAAAGTCAATATGTAACGTTTTAAGTATTCAATTTTTTTTTTTTAGAAAATTTAAAATCAGAAATTACGAAATTAAAAAAAAAATTCAACATATTCCAGACAGCGTTTTACCCCGGAAACTTAGTTTGGTAAATAGTTTGGTCACGAGTCTACTTTAAAAAATTATTTGTAATTAAGCTTAGTTTGGTTAATTTTCCAAAATATTGGATAAAAAACTAGTAAGACTGTAACGATTGAAATCTGATCGGATCTTTCTGATTACGTAGTAGCAAGAAAAAATCTTCTTTTTTCATTGACAACTCTTCTCACGCCAACTTTCTGATATGACCTAATGTCTTTCATAATGTGGACCCTTGGTACAATCACACCAACTTTGATAGCCTAGTCAAGGTTGTTTGATGCAATTGGTTAAGGTCATTTTTTGGTGCACTAAAATCGTAATATCACTCATCTAGTCATTTATATGGTATCAACTATCAAGCAATGCCGTTTCGGATATTTTCGTGGCCCGAACTGAAAATTAGAAAAGAAATTCTTTAACAATGGAGTTATATTTCATAAATAATAAATTGACAAAATATTTCATAAATTTTATATTAAAAAGTTCACCCAAAATTTGAGTATTCATTACACTTTTTTCCTTATTTTGCATTAAATATCATTAAAATCATAAATATTACCTATATTTTTCCAACTAAATCCATCCAGAAAAGGAAGATGTCTACAATTATTACTTGGATATCATTTTCAATCAATGAAAAAAAAAAAAAATTAAAAAAAAAGTCTATATTAGTGCTTGGCAAAAGCTAACAAACGCTTCGGAGGCGTTAGATAATATGACTAAATAAGTAGAGTTATTAAACTGAAATGAACATTAATTACACTGATCGACACGTGATTTTTTTTTTATATTTTTGAAAGAAGATCGACACATGATTTTGATATGCATTCAAAATTTTATATCATTTTAGGAAATATTTCAGTCCTTTCGTTTCATAATAATCTTGAACCGGACTGATTTTTCACTTAAAATTATGCATAAAACCTTTAATAATGATTAAGATTATCCTTAATAAACTTAGAAAACTTTAATTGTATTAATTTTTTTTGTACTAAACATACATAAAAAGACGTTATAACACTGTTTTTCCTTTTTTTTTTTTTTGAGTTTTCCATGAAATTATTAAAAATTTAGAATTTTTTTTTAAAAGAATTTTTAAAATCGGTTCGGTCTGGGTTCGGTCCCAACTTAGTCGGTCCGATCTTTGGTTCTTGAAATTCAAATTTTCGGTCATCGAACCGGTCTAGTCTTAGACCGATGAACAACCCTATTTGCAAAACATAACATAGTCATGTTGGGTCTTATTTTATTCATCTCAATGAGTAGTTTAATTATGGTTAAAATAATATGTTGACAAACGTGTACAATTAAAGTGAAAAGATCGATATGAAACAAATGGCATAAATAGTTATTTTACGCTCATGGGGCACTTGTTAACACGATCCTTATTATTGAGATAACATGTGCATAGCACAAAAATAGACTAGTTGGTATTTAATACAATGTATAATAACTATAAGTGTCTTTCATGACCTCACCTAAAATATTCACTTATTAATAGAGAATTTTTTAGCAATCTATTTATGAGTATTTAATAGTTCATTGATTAATGTTAGGCATTGAAAAAAAAATTCAGACGTTCAAGATTTTTATTTTGTTGTTTACTCTTTTGTTATATGGCAGTTAGTAGTTAGTACATCAATGTATTGGGTAGGTTGATAAACTATTATAATTTTCATCAAATCTATTAAAAGACCAAATCAACTAAATGATTAAGCTGATGGTTGAGACCCAAAAATATGTTTTATACTCTATTAGGCACAAATTTTTGCCTAGACTCTAGGGTAGCCAGCTTCTCCTACACCCCCATGCTACTACGTCGTTTTATATTGAACCATTCTGTCATTTTTTTTCTTCATCTTTTTTCATTTTTGTTAACTTTCTATTCAAGCAACTATATAATGATTTTCTTAACCTAATTTCCATTTTATTTATCTCATATTTTACTTATTTCATTTTCTCTCTCCTGCATTTTTTATTTTTCCCCCAATTTTTCTCTCTCTTCTTCCATGGAAATTTCTAGCTCAATTGCGTTTGATCGTGACAGTGATTCTAGCTTAATTGCTTTTGATCGTGATTGTGATTCTATTTTTTCTGCTAGAGTTGGTTTAGTCGACTCGTTTTCGAAACAATGTGAGTAATTTTTTCCTCAATCATTCGATTTTGATTATGCTCTGTTTTTCGCGTGTAATAGTTCGATTTTGATTTTTGATTTCATAGTTTTGCTAATTGTATGAACTATAGTTTATATAATGCTCAATTATAATTTTTGATTTTATTGTTTAGCTAATTGTTATTGCTTATTGTATGAATTAAAATCAAAATTATGGTCGATTATAATATTTTATTTCATTTTTATTTATGATTATTTTAATTTATAGTTTGTGATGTATTGTTGTGATTTTATTGTTTTTCTTTGTAATGTTGTTATTCGATTGATGTTTTTTCCCGTTTTCTGCATTTTAATGATTGTTTATAGTTTTATAAAATTTGACATTCAATTAATGCTCATGTATGTTATATTATATGTACATTTACGTTAGCATAGGTGTAATTACTGTAATTTACATTTATCTATGTAATCATAAATGTTCATTTATATGTTTTATTATCATTTTGATATATGTTCATTTATGTAATGATAAATGATCATTAACAGTTTAAATGTAGTTATTGTACATTATTGCTATTATTTGTATTCATTTGTTACATTTTAATATTGCAGTGGAAAAAAAGAATGCTATTTTATTTGAGGAAGCAGCTAGTTCTGAATTTTATGGGAAACAATTTCCTTCTGAAGATGTGGCTTATGAAATGTTTAATGAATATGCATTTAGAAAGGGCTTTGGAATTAGAATTGGAAAAAGTAAGAGGCGAAGAGATGATTCATTCTCTATGAAAAGATTTGTTTGTACAAATGAGGGTTTTAAAGATGATAAGTGCAGGAATAATAGGCTGTATGAGAGACTTAACATAAGGACTGGTTGCTTAGCTTTTGTGCAGTTTAGTATTGACCGTTCAGGTGTATATACATTTACAAGACATGAGATGGTTCATAATCATGAAATGATTCCTGTTGACAAGAGACATTTAATAAGGTCTCAAAGGGATATTTCTAAGGAACATATTAATTTCATTTCTACACTTAGATTGAGTGGAGTTAAAGTTTCTGATTCTTTGAGAGCTTTGAAGAAGGAGGTTGGAGGGTCTCCTAACCTTTGTTTTACAGCTCCTGATGCTTATAATGCTATTTCTGTTGAAAAGACAACTAAACTTGGGGGAGGTGACAGCAATCAACTAATCAAATTTTTTGCTAAGAGACAAATTGATGAAGCAGATTTCTATTATGATTTTGAACAAGATGAAAATGGTGCATTGGTTAATTTCTTTTGGAGAGATGGAAGGATGATGAGAGATTATCATTACTTTGGTGATTTGTTAGTTTTTGATACTACTTATAGGACTAACAAATATGGTATGATTTGTGCTCCATTTGTGGGTATGAATCATCATGCAAATAATGTGATGTTTGGCATGGGATTTATACTTAATGAAAGAACAGAATCATTTGAGTGGTTATTTGATACTTTTCTAACTTCTATGGGAAGGAGAAGTCCTATTACTATTATGACTGATCAAGCTCAAGCAATTGCAGCTGGGATAAGAAATATTTTCCCCAAAGGTGTTCATCATAGATTATGTGTGTGGCATATTGAACAAAATTCTAAGAAACACATTGGGGCGTTGAGAGCTTTGGATGGTTTCACTGATTTATTTGGTTATTTACTGAAGTATTGTGAAACTCCACCAGAATTTGAGCATTATTGGAAAAGGTACTTCTGCTTTATACTTGTTTAGCTTCTTAAATAATTTTTACAGAAATGAACATTTAGTTTTTTATAAATGTTTATTTATAATGATCATAACTGTTATGCTTAATGATCATGTTTCATTTACAGAATGTTATTGAAATATGACTGTGCAAATGTTGATTGGTTGAATGATTTGTATAAAATCAAAGAGATGTGGTGTCCAGCTTTTTCAAAGAAATTTTGGTCAGGAGGTGTGCTTTCATCTCAACGTAGTGAGACAACTAACAAATCAGTTTCTCAAAGGCTTAACAAGACACAAGGTCTATGTGATTTCTATCAAGTGTTTCTCGATGTGGTTCAAGAGTGGAGAAGCAAAGAAAAAGGGAGAGATTATAATACAATCAGAGGTAATCGTCATTTGGCTTTTGCATACATTGGGATTCTTGTTCATGCTAGATCATTGTATACTATTCAAGCTTATGTGCTTTTTGAGGAAGAGTTCATTAAGGGTACTGCTTGTGATCATAAGGATGCTGGTGTGAATTTTCCTGAATATTATTATCATTTGTGGAGACCTGGGAAAGATATGATCAAGCACGAGGTTGTTTTTAATAAAGAAACACATGAAATATGTTGTACATGCATGTTGTTTAGTGAAATGGGTTTGCTTTGTTGTCATGCTCTTCGAATTTATCATATGAATTGTGTTCATAAGATTCCAGATGACTATATATGTAAGAGGTGGACTAAGGCTGCTATGTGTAGTCATGGCCTTGATGAACCTACAATGAAAACCAATGTAGTATCTACAAGTGTTTGGAGGACACAAACACTAAGGAAATTTGTTAAGTTGGTAACAAGTTGTCAACACTCTTTGAATGCTAGAGCAGAGGTTGAATGTTATTTCAATCTTTTAAAAGAAAAGATTGAGAGTGTTACTGGTACTATTGATTTTAATGAACCGGTTGAAGGTATTGAAATTGTTGATCATGAAGTTAAGAATCCGGCAAAATCAAGACCTATTGGAGAGAGGAATTATAGGCCTAAGAGTAATTTAGAGAAGGCTTATAACAAAGCCAGGGGTCAGTGGTTGAAGAAAAAGTCAGTATACACTCCTTATAAAAGATCTAAAGGTCAAGCAGTAGTTCAGGTAATAATGCACATTTATGTTTTTGTTATTGATCATTTATGTTCAAGAATTGAACATTTTTGTTTTGCCTTAGGAATTGGACGAGAATGGGTGTCCTATATCTTATGCTAATTCTTTGGCTGATCCTAATGAGTTAATTGTGATTGAAGATCCAAGTGCTCAGGTAAAAATTTATTTTCTTTTTTTTTTATCTGTTTTTATCAAATTCTTTAGAATATTAAACATTTTTACTTTTAATTTTTTTTCAAGGTTTGTAATAAAAAGACTGCCATTGTAGAAGATATTCCTTCACATGATAGTGTTTCAAATGACTTTGAACAGGTATTATGTAAATGATTATGTATGTAATTGTAGTTGTTCATTTTAGTAGTTTAAGTTGTGATTATAATGTTTTTATAATTTTCATTTTATTATAGGAATATGGATATAGCTCTATGCAATCAAACGTTACTGTTGATCAAGACATATCTTCTATTGTTAAGGTGAAATATTAATCATCTACCTTTTAATTTTGTATAAGGTCATTATGAATTTTGAATTTGATCATTAATTATTTTAATTTTGATCATTAGGGTAAAACAGCTGCAATTGCTCATGATGTTGATAATTTTCCAACAAGTTCTCAATTGCCACCAAAGAAACCAAGAAATGTACAATTTCCCACAGTTGTGCATGCTCAAATCAATGCTCAAGCTCCTTCTGAAGTTTCTAGCATTGTTCAAAATCCTCCAAAAGCTCCAAGAAATGTTCAAGTTCATTCTAGTGTTCCGAAGAAAGTTCAAGCTCCTTCTAATGTTCCAAGAAGTCCTCAAGGCTGTTTTCGGAATGTTCAAGTTGATTCTAGTATTTCAAGAAATGTGCATGATGTTCCTAATGTTTCAAGAAGTACTCAAGGAAATTCAAGGAATGTGCAAGTTTCTCCTAGTGTTTCAAGGAATGTTCTACTTTCTCCTAGTGTTTCAATGAATGTTCAAGGATCTCCTACTGTTTCAAGAAGTACTCAAGGAGGTTCTCCACAGATTTCAACCAAATATGATAGGTTATTAGCGTTTTTTGATACTAGTGTGGCTAAGAGATTGGCTACAAATGGTAAATAAGAGAGTAAATCAATATGCAATTATGTTTTGGAGTTTAACTATCAACATTTTTAGTTGTCTCAACTTTATAGAGATTCAAGTGCTTTAAGTTTTTTATATTTTGATTTATTAAGTAATTTGAATCTTTTTTTTTCAAACTATTCTTAAATGTTCTATAAATGATTATTTTTGCTTTTGGAAGTGATCATATACTATTTTAAATAGTAAGAACCATTATTAAATTGGAATAATTATATTAGATGATTTAAAACTGGCAATTATAATGTAACACTTTACTATTTGTAAATATTAAAAAGATAATAAATTTTATCTTTACTTGAACAACAACAAAAACTTATGTCCATACAAATACTGAAAGCAAGTATGATCATATATATGTCTATATATGAACATATTGTATTAAGCTTGTGCAAATCTTCTTGCTGCTCTTCTATTGTTCTGTGACTGCCTGTTTCCTTCATTCAGCATTAGTTCAGCAGTGTATTGTACTCTGAGCTTTCTGATTTGGTTCACCTGTTCCAAGAAAATAATTTATTATAAACATGAACATTAATGGGATATAAATGATCATTATGTATTATAAAGTGATCATGAAGTATATTTTTTTGTTTTGTTGAAATTTACTTACATTGTTTGGTTTTAGGTCACAAACCCATTCTTCATTGGGATCAGCAGTGAAAGTTTCCATATGTTTCATAATGTAAACTCCACAGTTGGTGTAATCTTCGTTGCTCCTCCACTTCATTTTTTGCAAAACCACCTTATATTTCTCAATAGAATCTGCATCTTCATACCCCAACCCTTTCAAATATTCTGCATATCCTTTTAACTGCAACATATACAGAAAAAAAAATTCAAAGGATCATATTAATATTGATCATTTTAATTTTCAATATTGATCATTTTGTATAAACAAATTGATCATTTATATATCTATTAAACAATATACTTACCACCAATTGGAGTTGGTTTTCATACTTTGTTGCAATTGTTTGATGTTTTGGCAGTTTTCTGTTGTCAATTATATGCATTGTCTCATTGATATGATCAATGCATAGAAGATAGAAATGTGCATATATGGCCACTGGAAAAAAAATCTGTACATAGTACACAATATTATTATATATACACATTAATGTAAATGAACATATTATAATTCCATATTGTTCATTAGTACCTGTTGATATCCAACTGCACTCTTGATTTTGTATAACCTCAATTCATTTGTTATTCTTTCTTTGAAGTATGCAATTCTAAGCTCCATTGATGATCCTTCAGGACACACTGTATTTGCATACATAATTTGCTGCAAATAATGCACAAGGATCATTTTAATATTCATAATGATCATTTAGTATAAGTGAATTGATCATTTTAGTACACCAATGTATACATGTGTAATTTCAATAAAGACTTACATGTGGAAATGTTGAAAAGTATAACTTGTTCTTTGACCTTTTTTGATTCAGAAGTACTGCCCATGAATTGATCACATTGTTAACTACTAATGTATCCCCTTCAAGAGTTTTCATCTCTTCCCTATTGATCGAATTCACTCCATCATAGTATAGTAGCTCACTGCAAAATATCAATTTTTTAAATTTTATGAGTTTACAACAAACATAATGTTAAAGTTTTAATGAAGTAAGTGATGTATACCTTTGATCTTTTCCACTATAAGCATAGTCTGTTACAAGTTTGTTCATTGTGTCTTCATCTTTGAACAAATCCTTGTACTTGACCATGTATGGAGATCGGAAAGCAAGAGGAACATTTGGGATTTCCCTTTGTGGCCTAGTTAATGTGACCATATATTAATACAAATATGAATTTTTTTAATAATGAACAAATAATTTATATAAAGAACAAATAGTAATACCTTATCTCTTTTTCCTTTGCAATCTCAGTTTTTGCCTTCTCAGCTTCTCTTGATTTTTTTCTTTCCAAAGTCTTCTCTCTGTCACTGAATAAATATTGAATTATGAATGATCATTTAGTATATTGATAATGAACATTATAAATCTATACACATGTAAAGACCATTTACCTTTGTCCTGTTGTGTCTTTGGAAATTTGAATCTTCTCTGTTTCAATTTCTTTTGAATCCTTTTTTGTCTCACTGAATATAAATATAGTATAAATGATTATTCAGTTTAATGTAAAAGAACATGTATATGTGGAATAATCATTTACCTTTCCTTCACATTTGAAGCATATATCTGTTTCTTCTTGTCTTCTCTGAAATATTAATCATGGTTAGTAATGAAGAGTAATTAATATAAAAAAAACATTATTCTCCTTTTTTGAACAATAAACACTTAAAATATTACTAAAACATTTAAATTAAAATACATAATTTACATATCTTAAATTGTGCATTCCTACCCTAAAGCAAAATATTCCCTTCTGATTTTATAATACATATCCATTACTAACTTCATAAACAAAAACTGTCCAAAATAATTACACTTTATAACCAAATTTATTTTACATGTCCATTCAAAATTATATATTTTCTAACAAGATAGGTCTTCCATGTTTACCCCATGCTTCCTCCTTTCTTGTTTGATTTATCAAGGATATCTTCCATACTTGAACATGCTGGAGATTTCAAGATTATAGAAATATCTCCAGCAGCTTCCCTATTTTCAGTTGGTGTCTTGGGATCACCAACTTTTGAATCAGATGCTGCAAACAAAATACATGAAAAAAATTTAATATAACTAGAAATGAACATTATACTTAATAATTTGATCATTTATTTGTAATATGTGAACATTGTACCACTCTTTGAATTTCCTTCAACATTTTCTTCTAATGCTTCAGATTTTGAACCTTCACCTTTGTTTAATGCTTTTTGTATTAATTTGCATTCACACATATATAGACTTAGTATTATTAAAGAAGAATATCTTACAATCACAAATATTCATTTAATACTATATAAGTGAACTTTTTACCTTTTTTGGAATTTCCTCCATCTTGTGGTTCTTCAGAATTTGAACCTCCAACTCTTTCTGTTGATTTAAAATATATGAAATTGTTAATGTAAATGAACATTTGTTATTCTGAATATATACTTTTTTGAATATTTAGACTAAACAAACTTATTATTTTATAAATGAACATTATACTTTTCATAATTGTACATAGATATTAAAGCTTTACCCTCTTCTGGCTTAGAAGAAACATTTGCATCAGTTGTTGTTGAAGTTGTGGCTGCAACATTAATCTGTGCTTCTGTGTTAAAATAAATTAAATTTTAATTCTTTAATTATATTATACTCTTTAAGTAAGGATATTCAAATTAATGACAGTTTTTAATTAAGCATATTTACCAGTTGTTGGAGTTGGGGGAGTTAAGTTGCAACCCAAACTGAATGCCTTCCTTATATCATATTCCTTCTCATTTCCTATTTTCTTTTTTTCTGTTTCACTTGCCTCCATCAGTTCCTTCTCAATTTGAGCTATGGCATTCAAAAAATCCTCTGATCCAAATATTTCTTCATCTTGGCTGAGAATTGATGGTTCTCTTGCCATCTTTCCCAACACTTCATCTACCTTCTTGACCAACTGATTCCCAAGGAAGAGCTCTTTTGCCTTAACCAATTTGGTAGAAAGTCTTGCCAAAGATGCACCAACTTCTTGTACCATTGATGCAAATTCATTCATAAAGACCTGTCATTTATAGAACATATAAGAAAAATCATATAAGACATTATGTGTTTTGATATTGAACATTTCATAATTTATAAATGATCATTTTGTACCTTAGGATTGTCTGCAGGCTTTTCTTCTATTCTTGGAAGGACTTTTCCATATCCATAGTTCAAATCATTTTCTGTTTTTATACTTTCAAGTGACATATCCTTTTTCCAACAAGAAATTATTGGAATTGTTCTTGGTTGTTTTTTGTTCAATCTTTGAACTCTGTCAAAGTAGAACAGCTGCACCAAAACCCATTACTATAAATGAACATATAATATAATACAAATGAACAATTAATATAAAAGATTAAAATTTTAGACGAAATCGATATTTAACATTTTGTTAATGAACATTCATTGTTACTAAAATGAACATTTTATAATTTACTATTGTGTGTTGTAAACTTACCATCAGAAATTGCAGTGGTCCATTGTAGAATCCTTTTCCTCCACTCTTTCTCCATGTCACATGGCAACTGATGAGAGAGTCAAACACGTACTGACACCAATTCAAGTTTTTTATTTTTTCTTTGTCCATCATAGAAAACAGAAACTTGAAATGACATTGGTTGTTTGAAATACACTTCATCAAACAATTCACAGCAACTACCAAAAAGTTGGTGAGAAAATCTTCTTCTGCTGGCCTTTGGTTTTTGAATTTATCACTTGTATATTGAGCAATAATTTGGTTTACAGATGGTGTTTTGCCTTGCCATTTTGACCTCCAATTTTTTATAAATACACCAAAATCTTCACTTTCTCTGTCTGATTTGGCTTCAACAATGGGAATGTCTCCCATTGGCAAACCATATACAATTCTCACATCCTCCACCTCAATTTCAATTTTCTCACCTTTAGGCAGCTCAAAACTACAACTACTGACTTCAAAGCTATCTAAAATCCAATGGCTGAATTGTTTGTCAAGCTGAGGAAGTTCTATATCCAACAACGGCCCCAGTCCTATTTCATGCACTAATTTCTTCTGTGTATCACTCATTTTCTTAACCCAATGCATGAATTTGACATGGCCTCCTCTTGTCGAACTTCCAACTTCCTCTTCATTCTTTTCTTCCTCCTCTTCTTTTTTTTTAGCCACTGAAAATTCAGTTTTCCTCTTCACAATCTTTTTTATTGGTTCCCTCTCATACAGAACCATTCTTTTTTCTTCAGCTTTTGGTTTTTTCAATGTTGTTTTCTTTTCTTGAACTACTTCCACCTCCTCACTTTCTTCATCTTCTTCTTTTTCAGCATCAAAAGCTGGATCCTCACTGTCTGATCCACTATCAGTATTACTATTATCATCTTCTTCATTTTCCTCCTTTGATTGTTCTTCAATGATTTTTGTTTTCTTCAAAGGGCCTTTAGCTGATGCAGAAGGCCTCTTCTGGCCACCTAAACATTTGATCAATTATAATATGTAAAATGAACATATATATATGAAAGTGTAAATTGCTAGTTTGTATTTGAACATTTAACTTTATTAATATGTACATTACCTTTTTGTTCTACTTTTTTAAGAATTTTCTTTTCTGCAGGAGCAGAACTTGTTGCAGGGACTTCTTCTTGTTCTTCATCCTCTGATGGTTCATTATAAGGCACTTGATGTATGACTTTTCTTTTTTTTGCAGGACTTTTGGCTGATGCAGCAGGTCTTTTCTGACCACCTAATTATTTGATCAATTACATTAAGTAAAATAAACATTTTAAAAGTGTAAGATTGTAATTGAACATTTATTGTTTTAGATATGTTCTTTTACCTTTTTGGCCTGCTTTCCCAATAACTGCAGCCCTTGTACGCCCTGTTTTCTCAACAGGTTTCTCTGCAACTGCAGTTGCAGCCCTTGGACGCCCAGGTTTTTTGGGTGTTGTTGCTGCTGGTAGGTTTTCAGCAATTGTTGCAGCAGCTGTTGCTATAGCTGATATGCCAGGCAACTTAACATCTGCAAATAAACATTGTTATATAAATATTAATATAGTTGTAATATTTTATTTAATATGATCATTGTTATATTAGAAATTGTACATTTTATTTACCTCGTGATTTACTTCTTGTTCTTCTTGCTGGTGATTGTTCATATTCCTGTTTTTTCTGATTTTCTTCCAATTCTTTTTTCTTTTGATTTTTCCTTGCAACCATTTTCCTTCTTGGTTGCTTTGAATTTTGTGAAGATTCTTCACTCTTTTGAGACAAATTTAACTCTTCAACAGGTTTTATACCTCTCAATATTCTTGTCAACTCCTCATCCCTTTGCAATTCTTCTTGTCTTTCCAATCTTCTTCTGTTTCATCCTCAATCTCAATTTCTTCACCACCTATACATTTAGATCATTTACAAATTGGTAAATGAACATTTTCAGTATAAGTGTTATTGATTAAAAAAATTTAATATTTAATTTAACAATTATGTACATTACCTAATAGGATTTTTTTAATTTCAGCAGGGGCCTTCTGTTGTGCATTTGCAGAACTTGCTGCATGGGATTTTTCTGCAGCAGAGGACTTTTCAGTAGTTGTAGCTGGGGCCATTTCAGCAGCAGTGGCTTTTCCAGCAGTATCAACAGTTGTAGCAGGGGCCTTTTTAGCAGCAATGACCTTGCTAACAGGAGCAATTTTCCAGTTTTTTGTTAGTTTTTTTAGTATTCCTTGAGTTGACACTTTTAATTTTTTCCTGGCAACAGATAATTTATGATCAATAATATTGTAAATGTGGAATAGAAACATTTAATAAGTTATATATGTTCATACTTTTGCATTATGTATGAATGTGTTTCTTCAACTGCTGCTGGAGGCTCATCCTCTTTTGGAGGCTCTTCCTCTGCTGGAGGCTCATCCTCTGCTATAGCCTTCACTTGTTGTGTAGGCTGATCCTTTGCTGTAGCCTCTTTTGGAGGCTCATCTTCAGTTGATTGATTTCTGAAAATTAAAAATTGAAAATGATTAAAAATGTTTATCAACTAATATGAAAATGAACATTAGTTGATTTCTGAAAATACCCTGCTACATCCTTTTTTGGTTGTAGTTGTTCAACCTCTCTTGTGTCTTTCTTAGGTGATTGATTTCTGAAAATCAATTAATTTGAAATAATTAAAAATGTTTATTAAGTAATATGAAAATGAACATTATGGGAATCAAATACCCTGTATTCACTAATTCTGATCCAGCCTTTTCTTGTTGTAGGTGATCAGTTTTTGCTTCCTCTTCAGTTGTTTTTTTTTCTGAGAATGCAAATCATTAGATTATGTATGACAACTAAGAAATAAATGAACATTAAACACATTGAGGTAGAATATACCCTTGATTTGTTGATGCATCATCTATTTTTGAAGTTTCCTTCTCTTGTTCACTGAAATTTTTCGAATGTTAATACATAAAAGTATGATTATGTAACTGTATAAAAATTAATTATTGAATTTTTATTAAGTATTTATACCTTATTGATTGATTTTTCTCTGGCCTTGATCTTGACATTATAAATTTCACTTTCAACTTTTTTGGTTCACTAAAATTTTACAAATTATTTCAATTATGAGATTAAGTATTGAAGTAAATGATTGTACATTAAATATTACATATATGAATATTTGTAAGTATATCAACTTACTTGGGATGTAGGTTGTCTCCTAATAAATAGGGTTCCCACTTTTTTATAACTTCATTTCTATCCAATTTGTTGTCTATTTCAGAACATTCTTTTCTCTCATGAATTATAGGATAAGGATTGAACATTTCATTGTCAAATTGCATCAAGTGTATCACTTTAAATGGTACATCACTACAATGTAAATTAATATTGTAAATCATAAAAATTGACATGATGTTTCTATGTTAGACAAATGTACAGAATAGTTCATATAAATGATCAATATAGTTGTAGCAATGAACATTTGTATACACATATATGGATATATATAACATAATATGAATTTTGACAATATAGTGTTTTGTAAATGTTCATTTTACTACACAAATGAATAAAGTATATGTTTTCTATTTGTACAAAATGGAATTTAGAAATGAACAATTAATATGTCAGTAAATGTATACACATAAATTTAGAAATGAACAATTTAGAAACAAACATAAATTGCATGCTGTACACATAATATACAAATTTGAACATATGTATACATATATATGCACACATATATGCACACAATCCAATTTGAACATATACTGTTTTGTATTTGTTCATTATATTTCACAATACTATACTTTATATTTTTTTTGGTTGATCATTTAATCAAAATTATGCATACATTCCAATATTAACAGTAACTTGTTTAAATTTTTATTATCGTCTCAGAAATAGAGGAAAATTATGTTTATTTTGAAATTAAACAGTAACTTGTTTAAATATGAGCAAATTTAAATAAATTTATGCTTATAATTCCAAAAAAAAATAGTAATACTTACTTTGATTGTTCTGGAACTCCAGTATTTTCAATTTTTTTTCCTGAAGCATCATCAAAAAGAAAAAATACCAAAAAATTAGGGTTTTGTTTCGCAATTTTCAATTAATTTTACACTAAACATGTAAAACATACTTACTCATTAGATTTTTGGTTTGTTGTTGTTGAAATTTGTCGAGATTGTGCAATTTCGTCTCTTATGTCGGACATTTTAGACAATTTTACTTGCTAATTACATGTACGAAAATGGAGTAGAGAGAGAAAATGGAGGTTGAGTGAGAAATTGGAGAAAGAGGATGAGAAAGAAAAATGTGATTATTTGAAAAGTTTTTTTTTTTTTTATTATATATATATATGGGTGGGGTAGTGGGAAGTTACTGACAGTTTTAGAGGGAAGTTACTGGAATGTGTGGGGGTAGTGGTACGGCGTCGTTTAGGAGGGGTGTAGGGATAAATGGCTAAACTAGAGTCTAGCCATAAACAATTACTCTATTAGGTCCCTCACACAAGAGCCCATTAAACATGAGTGTGGATGCAACATGTACCCTCCTCATATCCATCCCCACACCGGTTAAACCCATCTCAACCCCTCTTCCTGCAAGCCAAATCCATCCCCACACCCCTTCCTCTTCCCTTTCCTCGATCTATCTCCATTGAAGCCCATTGAAAGGTGAGTTAAATTAGATGGGTGAGCTTAAATCAGTGGGATTTTGATTTTGGGGTGGGATAGGGTGGGTTTCTGGTGGAGTGGGCTAGGTTACCGGGTTGGTTGGGTAGGATTTCGGGGTGGTCGGGTGGAGTTTAGGGATTACATGAAAGGCGGCGGTGAGGGGGGGGGGGGGTGGCAGAACGGGAAAAGGGAAGGGGTAGTAGAACGGGAATGGGGAGGGGAGGGGGTGGCAGTATGGAAAGGGAGGGATAAATTTTATTATTTTGTTTTTATTAAAAAAATTAAAATCAGTTTTTTTAAAATGAAAATGTTAAAATAAAAATAAAAAATCTTAACCAATCACAACACAACACATGGCTAGTGTAACCTATTAAACAGGTTATTGGTTTTTTCTTCTGTCTTAAGCAGATTCATATCAAAGGTCGTTTTATTTTAAAATAATTAAAAGATCGTTTTATTTTTAGAACACCCGTGAAAGGTCGTTTTTTTTTTTGACAAATTTTCCTTATTATAATAATAACTAGGTAATGTTTCCGAACATTCTAATATAGTATACATATAAATAAAATACTTTATAATAAAAGTGCTTATTATTATAATTAATAAAACAAACAAAAAGGTAATTAATAATCTAATCATCCTTTTTAATAAAAGAAACAAGTTTAGCCATCAAATGTTCAATATTTGGAGATTTAGCATTAAGCAAATGAAAGCAGTGGCCTTCCCCCAATGTATCCACTAATTCAACATTCCCCTCCCACCTTGATTTTAAGCTATAATAATAAGTTAATCCTCTTTCCTTGAACCTATCATTTTCCGCAACACAAATCAATACCTTATCACACACCAATTTGCACGATCTTGGATCAATATTTGGGTTCAGCTTCGGTTCATTATCCAATTCTCTACTCGACGGGTACAAATATTGGATTAATCTTATGTTTTCTCTTGTGGTGAAATACGGTTGAATGGCTAATAAACCTATTAGTTTTAACCCCTCACCAATGGGTTCAACACTAGCCCTAATTGCCACATCATGGGCAAGGTTAGCTCCACTACTTTCCCCACCCACAAACACCCGATTAAAATCCACATACTCATTTAACCAAGGCTCCGACCCGTTCCCATTAGCATGCGATGCAACCCATTTAAATGCGGCCCAACAATCGTCGTATGCAATGGGTAAGGGGTACTCGGGGGCTAGCCTAAAGTTCACTGTAATGGCAATCACTTGGGCCCTAGAAACCAATTGGGTCAAGAATTCCTTGGTAATTGGGCTAAAGGCTGACCCGGTACAAAAACTTCCTCCATGAAAATGAACAAACAATTGTAAACCCTTCTTGCTCTTCGGGTCACCCGTATCATCACCGGTATCATCCATTTTAGGGAGAAATATTCGACCCGTTATTGCAGGATCATTTGAAATTACTATGTCTTTGGTTTGAACTCCGGTAATCGGGTCGATACCCGGCTTTTCTTCCATTGTGAGGATGTACCTATCAACGTGACCATCTTTACAAACTCTAAAGAAAGGGAAAAAATCTAGAGTAAATTCATCTAAATCTAAATCCACACTTAATTCCCTCTTGATATTAGTGGCCATTTTGTGTAAAGTTACTACGTTATCACCCCTTTTTTTTTTCTTTTCTTTATTTAAATATCTTAAGTTGGATGAGAAAATCTTTATATGTATATTTTGTATAATTTTATTATTACACCTAATCTTCACCAACATTAACTCTAGGCCATTCTTTTCCCTCCTCTTTCTTTACTGTCATTGTCATTTTCTAGTCGCTATTCTTGGAAATTTTGGTTGGCTTAGGTAACTGATAACTAATAAATTTAGACGTGTCATATTACTCATATATATAATTCTATATTATTGAGTTGGTTTCAAACTTAAAGACTTTCCCTTTTACCCTTCTATTAAATAGAGAAAATAGGTATGAAAAACAAATTCTATGATACTTTAATAAAAGATATAGGGTATAATCAATGGATGACTTTTGAGTGGCCACCATTGTATTAAATCAAATTACAACCGTTTATTTTTTATCGACTAACATGAACTGCTGATATGATTTACTTTTTATTTTATTTTTGAAGATTTTAACAAAAAAAAAAAAAAAAAAAGAATTACTACTACTACATAAAAGAAAATACTCCAGATTCTGCACCATACTATAGAATCAGTTAAATCATAGATCATTCAAAAATCAATTGCATTGTTCTATATACGAGCTAATCAGGTTCAAATTGATCAGAGTAAGAAATAAGCATCTCTATGATCCAAACCAACTGGCCACCATTAAGTCCTTTGAATTAAACTAGCGTCTAGCGACAAATCGACCTCGGCCAAATCTTCGAAACAATCAGATTTTTCCAATTCTCTAGCATTTTACTAAGCTCAAAACCATAAAATTATTCACATATTTCAATAAAAATAACCCCAAGAAACGGGTGAACTAAGATCGAAAAGAAGTGAAAGGGAAAAAAATATTGAGTAAACAATGAAGAAACTGAAAGAGAAACTGATAAGAACGTGGTATTTTTTTAAATTTTTTTTGTCAATTTTTTTGAAAAATAAAATAAAATAAAATAAATCAATGACTTACATTAGTCAATAAAAATAAACGGATATGATTTAATTTTATACAATGGCCACAATTTTGCCATTTGAAAACTATCCAAATTTAGAATACAACTTAATATTATTGGAAAATTTACAACAAGTATGACTAGAAGTCAAAAGTAGAAAAAGTATCTACAATTGTACAACAACAATTTAGGAGAAATTAAGTTTTGTTTATAAGGTCTTAACAAATTTTGGTAAAATTTTTTGTATTCTCAATATTCCCTTTATTCCATGCTAATTTTAAATAAGTCAAAGTTTTAACTTCATACGTTTTAAGTCTTTTAACATATTTTCCTTGCTTATTGTGATATTAGTAAATCTTACCTATCACGAGATTACAAAATAGGATAAAAAAATCCATTTATAAGTTGACAATTTGAAATTTTTATTATAAAAAACAAATAATTAAAATACTCACACACCATGTAACTACAACTTAAAATAAGTAAACAAATAACTCTAAATCTCCGATCCCCCTTTTCCTATTTTCTTTCCAGGGTTTCAATTTTAGGTTATTTAATTTATTAATAACTATGCGTAGAATAAACAAATGCATATTTTTTTTTTTAAAAAAAAAATGGTAAGGAGAAGGTCCATCCTAGAAGGGGGGTGTGTAAGGGATATCCCTCTTAGAATGTGCTTGGTGAGATTTGACCCTCAGCCCCACGCTTGAAAGTCGGAGAACTAGCCAACTACTCTAGCCTCCTATCTCAACAAAAAGACACATTAGTTAATTATTTGTTCTGAAGAAACAATACTATACGGCGATTAAAACCCAATTCATAGTTAGTCTAATAAATTAAGAGTAATGTTATATATAGTCTTGATTCTTAAAGATCGCAAATACGTATTATTATTAAATGTATTTTCTAAAATGATACTCGTATAAGTTTAGAAATCTATAGTAAAATGTCCATATAAAACACATGGAGTAAATATTATTCAAAATTTAGATCGAAGTCCACAGGGTTTTTATACAAAGAGAAATGATGTCTTTAATTCGTAGAAATCACTATATTTTAGTAAACGTTTTATGATAGAAAACTCTTAAATTTAAATGTTCATATAGCATAATTGTTTCTAATATATAAATGATACTCTTATGGTCTCGTATCCAACGTACATTAACACCATATGAAGACGCAAATTTGAAAAAAAAAAAAAAAAAAAAGATCTTGGATCAGAAATCAAAAGTAACTACATACTCCCGTGATAATAATATACTCAAACATTCATAATCATAGGTTGATCATTCTCATATATATAACGTTAGAATCGATCACAAGCCACAATAAGACATTTTATTTGGATATTCAAAACAAGTATAGATGAAATACATTATAGTGTCCATCCCTCAATCTTATTTTGTTCTTCCACTTTGAAAATTTTTTGCTGAGAAAAAAGTCAAGATTATAGGAAGAGCATAAAATTAAAGAACAAAAGGAATAGTCGTATGGTAACGTATATATTTACAAATATAATTAAATAAGTAATAAATCATCTAAGAATCCTCTTTTATGAAAGAAACAAGCTTAGCCATTAAAGGGTCGATGTTTGGGGAGCCAGCATCAAGCAAATGAAAGCAGTGGCCTTCCCCCAATGTCTCCACAAGTTCAACCTTCCCTTCCCATCTTGTTTCTAAGGTATCATAGTAATCAAATCCCCTTTCTTTGTACCTATCCTTTTCCGCAACACAAATTAATACCTTATCACACGCTAACTTGTATAATCTTGGATCTGTATTAGGGTTCAACCTTGGTTCCTCATCCCTTGACGGATATATATAATTAACTACAGGTTCACGTTGGTATTTTGTGCAAAAATACGGGTGAATGGCTAGTAGACTTACAAGGTTTAACCCTTTTAAGTGTTCAACACTACCTCTAATTGCAACATCATGGGCAAGAGTAGCTCCAGTACTTTCACCAGTCAAAATGACCCGATTAAAATCCACATAATCATTTAACCAAGGCTCAGGCCCGGTCCTATCTACATGGGACGCAATCCATTTGAATGCGTCCCAACTATCTTCGTACGCAATGGGTAACGGGTTCTCGGGGGCCAACCTATAGTCTATAGTAATAGCCACCACTTGGGTCATAGAAACTATGTTACTCAAGAATTGCTTAATAATTGGACCAAAGGCTGACCCGGTACAAAAGCCTCCACCATGGTAATGAACAAGCAATGGTAAAATCCTATTCTTTGGAAGACTCCTATTCTTTGGACTATCATCTTCACTATCCGTATCATCCAATCTAGGGAGGAACATCCGGCCCGAAATTTTCGGGTGTTTTGATATTACAATGTCTTTGGTATGAACCCCGGTAAAAGGGTCCACACCAGCGGGTACTTGGGTTGTAAGGATGTACCTATCAATGTGGCCATCTTTACAGACCCTAAAAAATGGGAAAAAATCATGAGTAGTTTCTTCTATATCGCTTTCCATACTTAATTCTAGCGATATTATTGTTGTTTGTGTCTATATTTTGTAAGCTACTACATGCATTTTTAATTTCTTTATTTATTCTTTGATGATAAATTTATATGCATTGAAAACTTTATTTTCACCAAAATTTTCTCTAGGCCATTCATTAAAATATTGTTTAATAATTAGAGAGAGATTTTAGTAACGGTTTAATTAGTTTCTTTACCCTCCTCTCCCTTTACTACCATTGTTTTTCTTTACCCTCCCCGTCATTTTTGGAAATTATGTTTGGAGTTATGAACTAATAATAATAGGACATGTTAATATGTTATTGAGTTCTATTTGTGGTTAATTGATTTTCAATTCTTCCAATATAAGCATTATTCAATACGAGTACGAAGTAATATTTAAACAACTGACCGACCAACTTACATTTCATTCTCCCCCTAGTAAGAAATTTTTTATTAGCGAATGTTACTTTTGTTTCGTATTAATAAAATTTCTATCCTTTTATTATTATTAATTTTTTTTAGTCTGTACAATGCAAGTATGGGTTTCAATCTGTATCTCTTATTTTCATGTTAAACTCGCCCATCCCAGAAGCTAGACAACATCTTCAGGACAACATCATTAGATCAGAGTAAACAAAGTGCATGTTGTACATCTTCGTAGGAAAACAATAAAAGTCTTGTACTTTATTGTATATTGTTTCCAAACAAAAATAATGAAGGGATAGGAAGGAAAAGAAATATTGATACAAAATTTTTGTTACCATCAAAGAAAAAATGAGCTATGTAAAAAATAAAAAAAAATAAAAAAATTGAGGGTATCCTAAGTGGCAATGTAGATCTCCATAAATCATTGAAGGGGACACATAAAAATTAGACTTGATTCTAATTAGCCCGACCTAGCTCGAAATTTACCCGGGTTTGGGCAGATTTGTTGGGCCTGCCCGTTTTTTTTGTTTGTTTTGGGAATTTGGGGCAACCAAAAATTAATTTCTACTTATAAATGGGTCATCTAAAAAATGACCTAAAAAACCCGTTTTTTTGGCTTGAAATAGTGTCGTGTATTTTTTTGGTCTGTCTCGATCAAGCCTATTTTTAATCGGTTATATAGTTTAAACTACTCCCTCTTACAATAATTGACACGATTATGAATAATTTTAGTTATTGTGAAAAGAGGATTAGGATAAACAAATAAATTGATTGGGTTTAAAAACAAATTTCATGGTTTGAAGGATAATAGAATTATAAGATATATTGAAGGCTTGTTTAGTTCATCTTATTTTTGCTTATTTGATCTGATTGTATGATTTGACAATCTCATGTGTACGATAGTCTATAAGGAACAAATATATCAAGTGGGGTCTTATTATGTGTAATTATGTGTATTTTATTAATATGTAATTTTCATAATTTTTTTAATTGCGAAATTAAAGATATTTAGCGGCAAAAAACCGTACACAAAAGATAAAGTGTATTAGAACTTATTTTTTCTGATCGGATCTGAGCTTATCATTTTGATTTATTCTGATAATTTATTTTTTCTAAAATAAGTTTGAATTAAAGTTATAATTTTATACAAAGCATTATACTTGTACAACCCGTCTTGTATATGGCTTACTACACACTGTGACCACTTGTAAAAGTACAAAGTAACCCCTGTAATACTGACCGAGTAACCTTTATAATACTGGCTGGGTAATTCGTATAACAATGACGAAGTATCCCCTGTAACATTGACTAAGTAACCCTTATAACACTGATGAAGTAATTCTTGATGATTGGTCACACGGTGTGGCTAGCCACAATTAAATTTGTGATACTTGTATATTGAGAATCTATCGAAAATAGTAAATTCATAATGATTTTATCTTTAAAAAAAAAAGCAAAACGGTGTCGTATTAAATGGGAGTGAGTAGACCCAGGGTGTGAGGAATGACCTCGATAATCGCAGCAGGCATAATCAGAGAGAGAGAGAGAGAGGGGGGAGGGGTTTTAGGAGAGAGAAATTGAACCAAAAAAGCTTTAAAATCGTGAGAAGTGTTATGATTATGAATTGGTCCGACCAATTTGTTGCTTAAGATTTCCTCTTCTCACTCTCTCTTTCTCTCTCTCCTACACAATTTCTAAGATCTCTCTTAAAGAACTTGAGCTTAATTAATGACTTTTCCCATAAACCCAGAAATTTTTAATTATAAATCATAATAAAAGTGACAGAAATCTGAGTTTTTCTGGAGATGCGCGGTGCATTTTCACCGCTTTTCTCTCTCCTCTTGATTCATCATCTTCTTCTTCAACAATGGCTGACGATTCTCTTCTTTCTTTCAAGGTTTGCTGGATTTTTATTATTATTTTCTTGTTTTTTTTTTTGTTGTTGTTAATAAATAGTAATATTTATTGCTGAATCTTGTAATTTTAGTATGTATTTATAATAAACCATGCATAGATACATAAATAAATATAAAAAAAAAAAATTTATAAAGGCATGCAAACAGCACACCTGAAGAACCCAGATCTTTGTTTTGTTTTTACTATACATTTTTATTAGATTCATGAAATCTTTTATTTAGTTTTTATTTTAAAGAATTGAACTTTCCTTTTTTTTGTAATTATACGAATTAAATCTGGCGTATATTTGGATTTAGTTTTTATATTAGTAGTTCAAATTAGTCCATCAACGTGACAATTAATTCCGGACAGACAGAGTATGTAATTATAGAACGTAGGAAGGTAAATCAAGTAAATTAATTAATTGGGTTTTTATGAGTAACATTTGGGTATCTTTTAAAATTTCCAGGAGATTTTGGTGCCCAAAAAGTCTCCACTGCTATTGAGGTTGATTGTATTAGTGTTTGCTATGGTATGCGGAATCTACATTTGTTTCGTCTGTCTCAAGCAGTTTAGTGTCAGTACGATTACTACTACCAGGTTTTTAAACGTTCAAGTGAGTGATCGGCCGTGTCCTAGGCCCGATCTTGAAGATTGGGAGGTTCCTTATGTGCATTACCCTAAACCTGTTACTTATAGCAGGTATATACCTTTATTCTGTTTTTTTTTTTTTTTTTTTTTTTTTTTTTTTTTTTTTTTTGTCGCAAGAAATGATTCGTTGTGGATTTTCAGTCCGATTTATATCCTAGTCTGTTATCAGGGCGGAATGTGCATGCCATCCGGTCCGGTACTTTGCTATATTGTCAACTCAAAGATCAGGTAGTGGTTGGTTTGAGACCTTGTTGAATAGTCACATGAATGTGAGTTCAAATGGGGAGATATTCTCTGTAAAAGTTCGGAGAGCTAATGTTTCGACTATTGTGGAGACTCTTGACAAGCTTTACAACTTGGATTGGTTCAGCAGTGCTTCTAAGAATGAATGTACTGCTGCAGTTGGCTTGAAATGGATGCTAAATCAAGTGAGTGTATTTTATTTAATATTTGCTGTTTTCAAGTTTAGTGGATGTTATTCTTTATCATTTGACAATTGAACATCCTAAGTGAATCTACTGCACCTATGACCTATCTGCATTGCTATATTCAAGTATCTATCATTTTGAGAAAGAATGTGTTTAGAGAAAAAACAAAGTCAATTTAAGTGAGCATATAACTCAAATATATAAGTTTCAGCACAACTTTCCAATTATCTTGCACTTAGAACTGTATATTGTGGCTGATATTCTGGATTGGTCAGTTTAACTTGCCAGGGACTAAATATTCACTTTGAAGCTTAGATCATTAGATGTTGATGATTCGATGTGGATACTTTCAGTATCAAATATGGTCGTTTCCGGCTTTGTTCTTTGTTCTTTCAGTATGATTTTTTACTAAGGAAATCTGTTTAGTGGAACATTCTCCCCCTTTCCCAATGTGCTTGAAATCATGGTCATTTCTGTTAGCACCACTGTCATTGACGTGTGTAGGCTGTGTCTTTATCTACTAACGTTCCCACCACTGGCAATGACTAGAATAGGCTGTATCATTACAACCAAACAACTGACATATGGTATGGGCAAGTTCATGGGTTTAATATCAAACCCCATTCTTGATACAACTAATACTCTATGTCTATTTCTTTGGGAGCTGCTAGAATGTGTCATGAAGCAAAAAGTTTGCAAATTTTATTGCTGAGCTTTTGCCTCTGTTAGTGATCAGGATGTTAGCGGGTTTGCCATTTTTCCATGATTGTTTTGCTGCCCTTGGTTGCCTGTTAAGTGGATTGTAGACATTGGGAGGGTGGGGGTGAGGGGGGTGGAGGGCTGTCCCCTGTCCTTTTAGGCTGTGACCATTTATTCCATGTTACTTTATCATAGTGCCTGTTGTATGTTGTTGTGGTTGAATAATGACTAATGAGTGCTTGAGAATTACATCATTGTTTGTAAAGATAAGGAATCCTCACTGGTTTATTTTATCACAATAGGTATGGTAGGAATTTATTTGTGAACAATATGAAATGCCAAACCCTGCAGTGATTCCTGTACCCAAGCTTACCTTTTGTTTTTGTTAGTTGAACCGTGAGCTGTAAAAAGTAAATTTTGGTCACTTTATACATATAATTTTGGCAGTTAAAGGTTGTTGTTGCTCGTGTACCTATTTACAAACCAATTAGAAGATGAATGAAAAGAGGATTGCTAGAAATCCTCCATTCTGTTCACTGTTTATGTCAAGATTTCAGCCACTAAAGAACTTGTTTATAAGAAATCTGATATTGGTAAGGTAGCAATGAGCAAATGGAGTATTACATGTCACCACAAGTGGAAAATTGTTTGTGATTTGGACTTCGTCCATTATCAGATGCAATTCTTGCCTCATGTGGGGAAAACTTGTGGTCTTGTGGAAGACGACAGAATTGGGATATCTCTCAGTGTATGTTTGCCATTAGGTCTAGAATGGCAAACATTGTTTTGTGCAAAGTACTAGTTCTTTTAATGTATATTAGTGCTGATAAATTAGGTTTTATAAGAAGATGCTTTTCTGTGTAGAAGTAGACTTTTGCGGACTGTAATTTCCAGATTGGCAGCTTTACGTGCTGCATTTGCACTCGCTCTCTGAAGCTACTTTATATTGGCTGTTGATTTTTCTGGGATGTGAGTGACAAATCTTGTGCATGCCTTATACAGCAAATGCTTTATTGCTTGAATATCTACAAATCAAAACATACTAGGAAAGGACTTCTTTTCTATAGCTTTATCTCGCGTTTGCTGGATTGTTTCTATGGACGCTTTAGAACTTTTATTGGCAGGAAATAGGCAGCTGCTCATGTTGCTTTTCCTTTGCTTAAATCTTTTGTATTAACTTTCTGTCTGCTTTACATATAAACTTATGGAGATGATATGTATGCAGGGATTAATGCAGCATCATGAAGAAATACTTGATTATTTCACCAAAAAAGGTGTTTCTGTAATTTTTCTCTTCAGAAGAAACCTCTTGCGGCGAATGGTATCAATTCTTGCAAATTCATATGACCGTGATTTTAAGCTGTTAAATGGGACACACAAATCCCATGTCCACTCTCCCCATGAGGTATGTTTTTCCATTTCCTCTGTTCGCACTTGCACAGACTGCTTCGGTGACTTTTGTAGATAGATGTTTATTGGATTGCATGGTAATCTGTTGCAGGCTGAGATACTTGCAAGCTACAAACCTTATGTAAATGCCACAACTTTGATACCAGAGCTTAAGAATGTCCAACAGATGGCAGCCAAAGCGTTAGAGTACTTTAATAGCACCAGACACACATTGCTCTACTACGAGGATGTAGTGATTAACCGCACTGTAAGTCTTCTAGGACTTTTACCCCAGAAAGGTTTTTGGTTCAATGTTCATCTTTGAAATCAAACATAAGTAATATTTCCTTGTTATCATTTTTTCCCTTACAGAAATTATTAGACGTTCAGGACTTTTTAGGGGTCCCGAGAACTAATCTAACTAGTAGACAAGTGAAGATACACAAGGGATCCTTGTCAGAACAGGTCGCAAACTGGGATGATGTTCAAAGGACTCTTAACGGGACCGAGTTTGAAGGGTTCCTACATGCTGATTATAGATTTTAGACTTCTGCATTTACAGATGTATATAGCTTCAGTTTTTAATCTCATGTCTTCCCCTTCATAGTTCTCTGCAATGTCGGCATGGGGGCGACAATTTTGGTAGCAGAATATTTGTTCATCAGAAATTTGCAGCTGTTTGACTCTAATTTAATGATTCATTTATTTTTTTCTCTTGGTAGATCCACTTTAATGGAACACAAGTTTTGGCATTCTGTTTCTTCTTGCAATTCTCAGCTTTTTGTTTGTGTTGTTGGTCGGATAAATGACTAAGTTTGGTGGTAACTGGTGAGAAAGGAGAGTGTTTGTATCATAGACATTTAAGGAGTGGTGAAATAAATACTTCCCCATGATTTGAATGATTTGCAACTTTTATTGCACAAAAGAGAAAATATGCAACTTTTCGACTTTTTAAGATGATCAATGTATAATATTTGGTGTTTTGTACTCTGTATAATATTGTGAAATTTAAAGTTTTGTGATCATCGAAGGAGAGGTGGTGGACTGGTGGTGTCCTTTAAAATATTGAGCCCTTTGAAATATTTGATAAAAATTAAATTAGCAAGTCTAACCTAAACTTAGCATTAATAATAAATGCAAAATAGCAAAAACACTGAAATTGTAAATTAAATTTTTTCTCTTCTCCTACATGCATACTTTTTATTTTATAAATAAAAGACAAAAGCTACCAAACACCCCGAGCATTGGATAAGATAATTAAAAGTTGAAATATTAAATTGAAATAAACATTAATTATATCAATCGATGCGTGATTTTGACATGCATTCCCTAATCTAATTTTAGCATTCGGAGCGCCACATAAGAAATATACTTATTTTGACCAATATAAAGAAAGATTTGTATTTTATTTTTGAATTAAAAAATTATGTCGCCACCTAGATAAAAGTAACGAATTAGATTTTATATATCTAAAATTTTAATGCCACGTAGATTATAATCCACGAATTAAATTATTTTAATGGAAAAAAATAAAGTAAAATATAGGAAAAGATAAATTTATTAATTCAATACTACGAGTATAAGAAATCCAAAAAAAAAATACTAAAAAATATTTAAATGATAAACGCTTATAATAAAGTTTGACACATATCATTTTAAGATAAATTTTGATAGTATTTATGATAAGAAATACAAATTGTTCGTTAATTATAATTAAATTAAAATTTGTGATACCTACCATTATAAATTGACACATCATACGACACAAACAAAATTTCGTATCAATAAAAAACCCTATCAAGCGAATTTTGTGTTAGTAATTTTGTGTTAATTTTTGGTCATCAATGGCCGGGTTTTTTTTAGCTTATTTTTAAAATCATATGTTTAAATTAGTATTTCTAATTATTACTTACATTGTATTAATTTGGGATACTCAACGATTATATGTTTATGTTTATTTACTAAATGTTTTGTTACATGCAGATCTAACACATCATACGACACAAATAAAATTTCGTATTAATACAAAACCCCATCAAGCAAATTTTGTGTTAGTTTTAGGTCATCAATGTCCGGGTAATTTTTAAAATCTTATGTTTAAATTTATATTTGTAATTATCTGTTACATTGTATTTATTTAGGATATTTAACGATTATTTGTTTATGTATTGACATACGATTAGATGTTGTATACTTAATATATGGATGGCTTTGGTTATTTTGGAGATGATGAAAAAATTCCAATGTACAGATTTGATTTTATATCGCAACAATTTTTCATTTATTGGTAAATATATTGATTTATTTTATATAAATGTAAAGATTTAATTTATATCAATTTCAGTTTGGCTAACGCTTCACGGTTCAATTTATCCAACGATGTAGTAGGTTGGTTGTGGACGAGGTTGGTGATTCTATCGAAATAAAAGATAGGGTAAACAATGAATAATGATTTAGGATTTAAATTATTAAAAATTTATCATTTCACATAAAGATTTTATATAACGGAAAAAATATCATATTTACAATTTATTTATATTTAATAAATTCATTATAAGTTATAGTAAAAAAAAATATTAAAATTTTGTAACTTTGTCTGAAATTATTAAATATAATAAATCAAATAATTAAAAATCTTAGATTAAAAAACCGGCATCGCACAAGTTTTCATCTAATTAATACTATATTAGACAATATTTTAAAGGGTTATCCAATGCCCCAGGGACGTTCGTCCGTAGGATCCTAAATAAAAATCATCTCAATCACTTTACAATAATATTGGATGAACACTTTGTCAAAAAAACAAAAATAAAATCAACACACTCAATTTTTTAATCTTAAACATTGTGCTCATCTAAGTGTTGGTTATCAATAGATTGGTATCGAAAATTCTTTTAAAATTGCATCCATTTAAGATAGCAGTATGATAATGTCAAACAAGTTAAAGATATTGTATAAGAACGAACCAATGAGATAGGAGAATTTTAAAATGAAAAAAATTACTTCCTTCATTTTTTCAAGTTGCATCACTTTTGTTTTCACACTTTTAGGCAATTTTTGGAGAGAAAAAAGAGAAAAAATAAATGGGGTCCATGTGATAAAAGAGATATAAAGAGAATTTATTAGTTAAAAAGGGATGTGATGCAACTAATTGAAAACTTGTTTTTTTTGACAATGGAAGAAAAATTTAATTTGTCATAGAATAAAAAAAATGAATGTTGTAAAATCCAAATTGAAGGTTTTAAAATAATTAAAAAAAAATACTTTTTTTTTGAGGAAATTAAATAAATACTAGAGCCACATAAATAAATAAATAAATATCTTTTTTATTATTAGAGGATTTAATTATATCTCAAAAAAGAAAACCTCCGTTAATTATTTTGTGAAACTTTCCGGCATTATTTGTGAGATATAAAAAATTTCAAAGTTACACATAAAAATTAACGAAGGTAGTAATATTTTAGAATTTGTGTGTGGCTGGCCACACTGTGTGCGACCGCTTGTAAAAGAATAAAGTAACCTCGACGGCTATGACATTGACTGAGTCCCTTTAACACTAACGAGGTAATACCCATATAAGATTTGTAATGTTTGTATCAATTTTTAGGGTTTTTTTTTTTATTATTTTTTATTTTTTGGTGTGAGACAAAGCGAAAGGAGCCTTAACTTATATTGATTGTCCATCAAAACATACGAATAAACCTCACAAGGGCAATGTATCCCTCAAATATGTTCAGTTTCAAAAGGCGTTAAATGAGCTAAATTGTGTGCAACAATATTCCCACTTCATTTGACGTGGCTCCAATTAACAGAAAAAAGAGAAGAACAAGAGGCTAAAATATCATTTAAAATAGTGCCTAAACCTCCTCTTGCTTCAATTCTAGGTATGATAGAGAGATATGTAATATAGGAAAGTTTATTTATTTTTTGTAAATATTATCGTATCATAACAAATTTCCCCATAAAGTTAGGAGTTAGGACTACTCTATCTTAGAGTTTTATCCTTATAAATATTGAAGAGCTTAATACAATCTAACAAAAATTGAAAAAAAAAAAAAAAAACCTTGAAAATTCCTATCATGGCTACCAAAATTCCCATGGACATAATGTTGACAGAAATACTCCCCAAATTGCCAACAAAATCTCTTATTCGTTTCAAGTGTGTTTCGAAATCATTTAAAACCTTTATTTCTAATTACAAATTCATAGACCTTCAACTCCGTAAATCTCATGATTTACTCATCATCAAAGATATCGACAATGATCTTTACTTGTTCGACTTGGACACCTCGAAATCTCCCGCCACCAAACTGACCTTGCCTTGGACTTCTTTCCGACTAGTTGTTGGATCGTGTTATGGCTTACTTTGTTTACAAGAAATTGACCCCGTATTTAGGTTGTTCAATGCATATTTACAAACTTACCGGGATATCTTATATTCAGGTGAGTCGTTCTCCGGTAAATCCGGATTCGGATATGATCATAAGAACAAGGATTATAAGATTGTTTTACTACATCCTCAACATGTTACGCTTTATAGTTTAAAGGCTGATTCATGGAGAGACGTTGTCCAAAAATCGAGTCTTGAAAATATAGGGAGTCTTTGTGGTTCGAATCACCATGGTGTTCTCGTCAATAATCATTTACTCCATTGGTTGTTTTCGAGTTTGAAAGATAATATTCGAATTCGTTGTTTTAATCTATGTAGCGAGCTATGGGAGGAGGACGACATACCATTACCTGAATACAAATGGTATTCGATTAGTACTAATCCAATTTTAGGGGTTATTGATGGTTGTTTGAGTCTAATGGTGACAACTACAGAATCGGTTGATATGTGCGTTATGAAGGAGTATAGAAATAAAGGGAGTTGGGTGAAGTTATTTGGTGTTTCGCATTCAAATTATGTTATCCCGTTATCACAACATATTCCCTTGGCACACAATAGAGAATCAAATTCGGGAATTTTGATGATGAAAAATTCGTATTCAAGTAAGACGAATTCAACAACGAGGTGTTTAGTTTGGTATAATAGCAATGACAATACATCTAAGGAAATCGAATTCGATGGGATTACTAGTGTTTCTCAAGCTTTTATGTGTAAACCAAGTCTTGTTATTGTATAATAGAAAGTGTGACTTTGTTTACTTTGGGTGGTATCATCGACTTGAAAAGGATCGGAGATTTGGAAGAAAGAGATTAAGGAAAATAAATTCATTTACATTTATGTTCTTATGAATTAGATAAATAAGTTACATTTTTTTTTGTGGTGAAAGGATAAATAAGTTTATAAATGTTGGTTTTTTTTTTAGTCCGCTAATAATTATTGTGTAATTTAGTGCTTCATCTTTGATTCTGGTATATCATTACGTTTGATAATCGCAAGACTAAATCTATATTATTATTAAAATTCAAAGGGATTAACATGGTAACGACATGTGTCATTCTAATGTCATCATGAAATTTATGATATAGCGCCACATAGATGATGACATGACAACACATATTAATATTTGCATTAGATTTAAACCATTCCATCCCTTGGAATTTCCAACTTTTCATCACCATATCAAGTAAACTATTATTTCACTTTGATTTATCAGGGATAAAATTCATTTTTACTCTATTGTATTTGTTGTTTTTATTCCACAATTAATGTCACTTAATTACCTAATTAACATTTAAGAATTGTAACTTTTCATTAAGGATTTTAAAAGTTTTTAGGCATTATACGCAATTCCCTAATTTATCATTTTTATTTTATTATTTAAACTTAAAATAATGGTTCCAAGATATTATTTAAACTCAAGCTAATTTTTTTCATTTTGTATTTAAACATAATCCGGGGCATTGCCTGGACCCCAAACTAGTTTTAATATATAAATAAATAAGGAATTAAAACTTCTTTTATGTAGATATTGATAAGCATTGTAGAGCGGTTCGTTTAGTCTTGATAATTATGCAGTCCGTCGTCTTGTGTGTGGTTGTGGCTTGTGGCCATTTGTAAAACAATAAAGTAACCCTATAACATTGATCGAATAATCCCCGTAATACTGACCAGGTAACCTTTTTTTTAGCACTGACTGAATAACCCCTTTAACACTGATGAAGTAACCCCTATAATGTTGGATGGTTACACGGTATGGTCTAGCACATATAAGAATTTGTGTTATACTTAATAATGACTTTGTTTAATATTTTCGTATTCATATATGGAGTACTTGATAATGATTTTGTCTAATATTTATATTAATTGATAGTTTGTTGGCCTGGCCATTATCAACCTGCTATTGGCTCGTGACCTGTATAGGCTCGACCCGCTATTGGCCTTATAGAATATGACCCTTTTGACCTGACCCGTAATTAGCCCGCACCAACCTTTACTTGACCTGCCCAATAACCTGGTCTAGAAATGAAAATAGAGAAATAAAAGTGATTTTGAGGGTTAAAAAGGTCATTTATGGAAGGGTTAAATAAGTATGTTCCTACAAAAATACGAATGTTACGTGGTGGCTTAGTTTCTTTTTTATTTATTTTTTTTTTTTTTTTGGAAAGCGGCCTTAGTTTAGTACCCTTCCATACAATTTTTTCCATCCTAAAAGACCTACTCTTATTTTTGGAATTTTGATCTATTCTTAGTCTTCTTAGATTAAAATCTTTTCTTGCTAAAATTATAGGTGTATGTGTATAACCGTTTGAGAGAATAATGTAATATAGGAAAGTTTATTTTATTTTTGTAAATTTATCGTATCATAACAAATTTTCCCATACAGTTAGGATCACTCTATCTTAGAGTTTAATCTTTATAAATATTGAAGAGTTTTCTACAATCAAACAAAAATTGAATAAAACAAATCCAAAAATTCCTATCATGGCTACCAAAATTCCCATAGACATAATTTTCACAGAAATACTCCCCAAATTACCTACAAAATCTCTTGTTCGTTTCAAGTGTGTATCAAATCCTTTAGAGCCTTAATTTCGAGTTCCGAATTCATCAATCTCATGATTTACTCATTATCAAAGATATGGAAAAAAAATCTTTACTTGTTCGACTTGGACTCCTCGGGATCTTCCCCCATCAAACTAACCTTGCCTTTTTCTTCTTTCCGATTAGTAGTTGGATCGTGTAATGGTTTACTTTGTTTAACATATATTGATCAAATTGACGACATTGACCCCGTATTTAGGTTGTTTAATCCATGTACACAAAGTTACCGGGATATCTCTTACCCATATAATTCGGATATGATCACGAGAACAAGGAATATAAGATTGTTTTATTACAGGATGAACATGTTACGCTTTATAGTTTAAAGGCTGATTCATGGAGATACATGGTGGTACGAATCATGGTATCCTCATCAATAACCATTTACTCCATTGGTTGTTTTCGAGTTTGAACGATGAGCAATGTGGAATTCGTATTCGTTGCTTTTATCTATGTAGTGAGCAATGGGAAGAGGACGATATACCAGCACCCGAATACAAAAGTTGTGTGGTTATTGTTAATCCAATTTTAGGGGTTGTGGATGGTTGTTTGAGTCTAATGGTGACAACTCGAGAATCAGTTAATGTGTGGGTTATGAAAGAGTATACAAAGAGAGGGAGTTGAGTGAAGTTATTTGGTATTTCGCATTTATATAATGTTATTTCGTTATCAGAACATATTCCCTTGAAATGCAGTATAGAATCAAATCGAAAATTCTAATGATGAAGAATTCGTATTCAAATAAGACGAATTCAACAACGAAGTGTTTAGTGTGGTATAATAGTAAGGACAATACATCTAAGGAAATCGAATTCGATGGGATCACGGGTGATTCTCAAGTTTATGTGTAAATCAAGTCTTGTTATTGTATAATAGAAAGTGTGACTTTATTTACTTTGGATGTATGATCGACTTGAAGAGAATTGGAGTACACTTTGGAAAATAAACACATTTACATTTATGTTTTTATGAATTACATAAACAAGTTTGCAAATGTTGTGCTTTTAAATCTACTAATAATTTCGGAGTATTGTGTAATTTAGTGCTTCATATTTAATTTTAGTACATCACATTTGATAATCTATTGCAAGACTATATTTTACTAAATAAATAAATTCTAGTCCTGTGATCACTCATGAGTCATGACTAATGTCAATGACATTATTGATAATAATTGTAGATGCCGTATAATCTTGATAATTATTGTAGATGTTGTATAGCTAATACTGTATTACGATTGCTAACTAAGGCCTACTAAAGTGCAATGGAGCCCTGAAGAAGCAGTAGTATTCTACAATTACTTGAAGAATTTTACTTTCACTTCTTCAAGGCCTTAAGGGTTTACAGCTTTACATTTATGAACTACTATGAGTGAATAAGAAAAAACGGTCCACATACTAGCCAACAACTTTAAAACGAATATAAAGACAAAACTAAGAAAAAATAAATTCATGCAAATCCTTCTATGCACAATCATGACAGCTTCATATAAATCAATTTTATAATACAATTAGTTAAAAAAGAATAAATTATTTAACTTAAAATATATAAATTGTGGATCATATTGAATTATGTATGAAAGGGACTACAATGGTGCATGTCTAAAATCAAATAAACTAATAACTTTTATAAAAAAAGGCGGCCTAAACTAAAATAAAGCCAAAAAAAATATAACCAAACTTCATTTCTAGCTAGCTTCCTCTGTTTTCCTTAGTCAATTTTATCAATCGGCCCCCAAAAACATACTATCTTTAGTTCACCAACTATATTTATCCAACCCAAAAAAAAAATATACAATAAAATTTTAGTGTTATATTTCAACTTTAAAAAGATACTTCTATTTTAGTAGCAAAAAAAACCAACCAAAAGAAAGTGTGGGTTAAGGAAAAATGGAGATGAGAGTTTTGACAGCAGAAAACAAGTTACCTGCTGCAGTTGATCATATGAACAGCAACTGCTCAACTCCATACATGAGTGCTGCTAGCAGCCCTCGCCGGCCTCGGCCTCAGCTCGATTTCTTCTTCTATAGCGCTCCCACCAGCCCTCGGTCTTATAATCATCATTCTATGTTTGCTGATGTATATGATGATTATTCGGCTGAGGATGTCGCGTTACTGAAGCATGATCATTCATCCGCAGCTGTGCCTTTTGATTGGGAGCTTAAGCCAGGAGTTGCGAAAAGTACTGGTGTAAGTTACAGCAAAGATGAAGATAATCAACAACATGAACAAGTGATGGAACATGCAAAGGAAGAGTTCGAGTTTGATTTCAGTGGGCAGTTGGATATGATGGTTAGGCCTCCTTTGTCTTCTGCTGATGAACTTTTTGATGGCGGTAAAATTCGCCCGTTGAAGCTGAAGCCTCCTCCTAGCCTACAGATCAACACTGACAGTAGAATCAGTTCAGAAAGTCATTCTCCTAGATCTCCTAAATCTGCTATGTCTAAGTTTAAGGACGCGCTTAATGTGTCACCTAAACATAGGAGAAAGGGGTCTGATGAGGATCCGTTTGAGGCCGCTATTCGCAGCAGTAAGAAATGGGATTCTTCTGCTGCTGCTACTGCTACTACTACTGCTGCTGCCGTCAATGACGACGACAGTATTCAAGAAAGAGGTAGAGGTAGAGGCAGAGTTAAATCGATTACGGCTGCAAATACGAATATGAATAAAAGAGGAAGCAACAGCAGCAGGAAAGGCATCAGCAGGTCGCTGTCTCCTTTAAGGGTGTCTGAATTTGCTCTGCTTCATGAACAACAGTTACAAGAACATCAGTATTCGAACGAAAACAGCAGTTCAAACAGGTTTCTAGGAAGAGGTACTAATACTTGTTCTAAGAAATGGAGGTTAAAAGACTTGTTTCTTTTCAGAAGTGCATCAGAAGGGCATTACAAGGATACTCAATCCTTTTCCAAGAGATGGAGTGTCAGATCATCAGTCACAGGCTCGGGTTCTGGTTCTAGTTCCGGTTCTGTTTCCGAATCAGGATCAGTATCAAAGCGAAGAGGGCAGGCTGCATCAGCACATGAAATGCACTACACTACCAATAAAGCTGTCTCAGAAGAGATGAAGAAAAAGACTAGTCTTCCTTACAAACACGGTCTTTTGGCTTGCTTGGGTTTTAGTCCTATTCTTCCTCAATTTTCCTACACTTTTCCTTCCTCTTCTTCAACTACTCTATCATGAATTATTTCATTTGAGGTTTTGTTTGATTAATTTTGTATTTGGTTATACTGTATTGTATCTATAGCATCCGAAAATTGTTCGTTGTTTTGGCTTGAAATAATCAATTTCTAGTCCAACTTTGTTACTCAAAAGTTTGTTTATTACATTTATTCATAGACATTGATCTTTTTTTTTTGGTACTTACATGTTAATTTATCATGGATTACATTTCTAAGCAAGAATAAATGAAAGACGGACAAATAAAGGCTTATCCAAAATAATGTATGATCTTGATAGCTTTGAACATTCAATTTCAGATTTCATTGAATTTAGACTTGATATAATGAACCAATCAATTTACACAATTAATAGGAGACGAAATGTTCTATATACCCTTAATAAGTGCTATAAATAATTCACCTCCTAAAAAAATTGGGTAGAATCTTGAAAGATTAAGAATTATTAGCATTGTGGCGATCAAAGTGGCTATACATTGTTTTTTGCTTTAATTTGGTCAAGTACATGGGCGGTCCTGGTCCACACTAGCCCCGCGCCATGTCTCAATCTCAAGGTGGCCGATGGGGTATGATGTCTAGGACCCTAGGAGATCAAAGTGATTCGTACCGGTGGACAAGTTACATCGATGCACTAGGACGACGTGCAAACTGTACAGGAAGCTTGGGCGTTGGAGACAGGACGGTGCTACCCGCTAGGCCGCAATCCAAGCAAATTTGCAACGTAGTGCATCTATGTCAAAAAAAGCAAAAAACAAGCCTGATTTTTTCAAACAAAAAGCCAAGATTAGACCCCCAAAAGATTTAGTAATCATTTTGTTTGCTTTCTCTTTTGACCCCTTTGTTTTTGGGGTGGAAAAAATTTACGCAAAGGGAGTAAAAAGTTGGAAGTATATGGTATAATTCACCCACCATAATGTGTAATAATAGCTGTTTACACAATTAGTACAATAAGTCAATGCAACAAAAGTTTGATTGTACAGTATGAATTTGTTCATTCATTGCTTTTAAGAACGCTTGTCATAAGTTATCAGTCTTATCACCAGTTAAGTCTATGATGGTAACTTCAATAATGTTGTCTTTTTACTGTGAATGTGGCTCTATAACTTCAATGCATTATGTGGACAAATGTGAATTACGTACCAAAGAGCTCGAGTGTTTAATAGACTCACTTTTTGCAAATAGAAAACATACTGAAGTGTCATTATGTGGAATTTAATTTACTCAACTTGTTTAGCTAATTGCTCTAATATGGACTAATCATGATTGACCTGACTTGAAAATGTCCGAGTTTGGACATAGTTTCTAAGAACAATTTTTTTGTCAAGTCCGGTTTACACCGATTTCTGTAAAAAAGTACAGTAAAAGGCAATTTAGACCAAAATATAAGCCAACCCGATTTGAAATGAACCTTTTTTCTATAGAGGCATGGCCTAACCTGACTCGTAACATCATGGAGTACAAATCAAAAAGAAGAAAGGGATAGGATGTTTCCATTGGCCCTCATGACTTCATGAGTCATGAGGTGAATGAATTGAAGATTCAAGAAAGAATTTATGGAGTGCATTAAACTATGAAATCATTTTCATCGTGTTATCAAATGAAAAGTAATGTCATGACTTAAAAAAAAAAAAAAAAAATCTAGTGTGCCCATCGTGGTCTTTGATCGTCATTAAATAACATGAATTAATACGCAATAACACTTGTCTCTTTACTACTCTCGTAGTCATAGTCGTTGTGTAGTTTCTTTAGTCTATGCCGTCATCTTTGAATATAAAAATCGACGACTTCAAAACACATTAATTATTTTTAATAAATCGACTATTTATCTGCTCCACAAATGGAACCTCGTGCTTTTGTTTTATTTTTATCTTCTACAATACTTTGTCTTATTGGCATTTAATTTAATTTTTATCAGTATATCATTGTCACCTTCCACAAAAGCTAATTCAATTACAGAGTAGGATAATTTAATTTTTCCAAGAAAAAAAAGGATAATTGAAATTAACGATGTATGTAGCCATAAGAATTGGATATAAGGTTTTACAGTTTTACATTACTCAATTTTAATAGTAGTATAGTGAATCTCTTCGAAAACCTGGATTTTTTTTATTTTATTTGTTTCTAAAAAAATTGTAGTAGTTGTTGTCTAGTTTGCTCTGTTGTAATGTTGTTTTCGTATATGATCTCGTAAAAATAAAAAATAAAAAAGAATAAAAGAAAAAATATCCCTGGAATTAGTACGGTTGCATATGCGTTTTACATCTCTAGACAAGGTAAGCACACTAATTCTAGAAGATTGATATTGAAATGCAAGTATGCAACCTACTATCCCTTTGTCTAAAATAATTGTTACAAATCTCACAATCTCAGTCCCCAATTATTTATAGATCTACTTGCATTCTCAAGCATTAGATACATTTTCTAAATTGATATAGAAATATATGCATTACAAACACACACATCATTTGATGTTATTAATAGTTGATTTACGCTTATATTTTCATTTTAAATCCTTACATGTAACCCCTTGTCATGTTCATATCGTTAAAGATATACGTGGTACTATCATTTTTCTATATGATCCATTTGTTAAATTAATCAAACACTATTTTCCAATACTCATGTCTCGTACTTTATAAGTATCTTTAGACAAAGTCAATTACAGACAATACTTTTTACAAGATACTTCGTATGTGAGTATGTGACATCAATTTCCTAACGGAATTAGTACTAATCTACATACGTTAACCATTTTATTTATTTTTATTTTTTTTTTTGAGAGGAAGCATTAAACATTATATTATGAATTTATGATAAAGAAACCCCAACAAAACACGTAACAAGTTGAAGGAAATATTACATACTCAGCACGTGCAATACATAATTCAGAGTAATAAAAAAAATTATAATTTCATACTCTTTCCGTCCCTTATTTACATGCTTACTCTCATTTTTGGGGTTTTCAAAATTATATGTCTAAATCTATTTTAAGAATGTACTTTTTGACAATATTTGAGTTGTCATTATTTTTTTTATTATTTTTTTGTACTTTTGACATCATTTTCCAACACTTTCTCTCTCCATCTTTTCAATAATTACCAACTACCTTTTTTTTTCTCTATATCTCTCTCTAACCTCACATGCATATTTGTACTTCTCAATAAAGACTTTTAAGTTCCTTAATTTTCGTGTAAAATGGAAAATAGGCATGTAAATTAGGGACAGATAGAGTACTTTGGCAAGTAGTTAATGAATTTAGTTCCAATTAAACTTTTGACTTGTGAAAAGAAAACGCATCAAAAAGAAACAAAGCAACTCCCCAAAGATTTTCAAGCCAACTTTATAGCGTAAAAAAGTCATCAAAAGTTAGGTTTATAACTTTAAATTGCTACCAACATTCATTTAATCTGTAATTAAATTTTAATTAGTCAGTCATCATATATGAATAATATAATTAGGCTTCCTTTCCTAGAAACTTGATGCTAATTTCTGATTCTATTCATATCTTCAAGTGGGTTATTTCATAATCATGCCCGACTAATGCGCCACATCCAATGATGGGCGGAAAATATGTTACCCTTTTAACAATCACACCATTTTTCTGCAAAAAAAAACACAGAAAAGAGAAGAAAAAACAGCACACCATGATGAAATATAGATACAATTTCTTGGCATGCAATAAGAGTTGTGCAACAAAAGGGCCCTGACCCGATAAGGTGAATTGGACAGGCCCAACTAGGTTCGAAGTTACACATATCACAATTTAAATCCAATGTATGATACAAATTCTTGATCTGGGGGTGGGGGCGATAACTGTCTACCATGATATAGTGCATAACCATTCTTATGATATAGCAATATTAGCAAATACAATTTCTGATTCTAGCCCTGAAAACAATGAAGTCATCATGGATTATTTTAGCACACTTTTTTAACCAGGGACCCAAAAAAAAAAAAGTAATCATTACTTACACAGGATCTTGTGATGTTGACATTAGCGTTCTGTTACAATTTGCAGTTGAAGCGTAACTGCATGTCTGCATCGCACTCTGTAGTAGAATCAGGAATGACATCACTGATCATATTGTCCAAGCAAATTCGATTTTACTTCCATCGTCTTCCAAGCAGCATCCCTCGCCTCTAGCGCAGCTATTTCTTCTCAGGCACATGCATACATGCTGTTTCTTCTCATTTGGCTTTTTCTACTTTTCAATCTCCCACGTCAAGATACAGAGGACCATGCCGAAGCATTATGTTCAGGTGCAAGCTTAATTATCCAAGTTAGCATCATCTCTTTTATATAGATTGCCCCAGCTCACCACTCCAAAAGCACTATAAGAACACCAATGCACAACGACACAAGGAAACGAATCCTTACATCTGCAACCATGTCGCAGAAGAAGTCTACAAACAACATATAGGAACAACATATAAGGTAAACTGGTAAGGGTAAACAAGAAAATTAAATAGCAGGCCAGATTAAAATCAGAATATAAGTCTCAGTGGTTTTAAACAAGTGATTGGAAGAAACATCAGTTAAAATAGCTTTTTAAACTCCTCCTTACAACAGAGACTGGAGAATAACACTTATCTGCATCTTATAGATTCTAACAAAGTCGTATGGTCAAGAAACAACGTTACAGGCCTCCAACTAATGCAGTCTGTACAAAAAAGCTTCAGAAGCTCCCAAATCAGAGCTTACGGGCAGTCCATTCTCCTATATCATACCAAGATTAAATTATTTAATATCTCATTTTGATGGATCAAATGGGCAGATTACCAGATTAGATTTAAATATATTACAGTTCCCTTTACATATACACAGCTAAGTGTTTAGATAACATATATATTGATTTCAGTCAACGCTTCATGGATTGACTTGAATCCACACATTATAGTTTTCTTCAGGAAATATAGCCTAAGTGAATACACAGATCCAAAAGTTCAAAGACAATCTTTCACCAAAAAGATTTTTACTTCAAGTCTCAATCTTTTCTTTCCAATTTCTATAGTGTCTTTAAAACCTAAATTATTTGTTTGTGTGTGAGGGTTGGGGAAGAGGAGGGGAAGGGAGGGGGGGGGGGGGGGGGGGGGGGGGGGGGGAGAGAGAGAGAGAGAGAGAATAAGAAGTTGGAAAAATGTAAGCTGTAATATGCACATGCCCCATTATCTACACTCGATGAGACTTTAGGTCCGTTTGACTGCCATTGCATATTTAAAATGGTCAGAGATTGTTCATAACAAACCGGAAACAGGGTTTCTTCTTCTATGACGGTAATTCAGTCGTTTGAATAATCAGTCCTACATCAGTACATCCATTCCAATCAACCAAGAGAGGGTTCATAAAAAAACTAAACCTAACATATGGTCTGTAAATTAGTTTGCTCAGCTTCACTCCATTCATATAGCCTTAATATTTGTGCCAATTGCCAAGCCCTTTTGTGAAAAACAATAACAAGGTAATACAAAGGAAAACTGGTTAGCCTTAAGAAGCTTGGAGGGATTTTGGCAACCAAGAACTCGAAGCAAAAAAAAAAAATAGAGCTGGAAGAATCCTGTCAACACAGGTACTAATGAAGATAAAGACAAACAAAATGGACCAAGGCTTTGCACAACTAACTGATTTAGAGAAGATAGAGATCATTATGTTTAATTGAGCAAGACCTGTATAATCAATTTGAAAATGAGTGGTGACTTTTGACTTGTACCATCTGTTAAATCTTTCTCACAACTGCATACAGTTTTCTATAAAAAAAACATTGAGTGATTAGCGGATAAGAGTCAGAAGACTAGATGAGGCATCAGACCCTTTTCTTTTTCTTTTTCTTTTTTTTTTTTTTTTTTGGGGGGGGGGGGGTGGGGGGATGCATTATTTAAAAAAAAATCTAAATGCTAGGAACAGATTCCTGGCATAGTCAACGCTTCTTTTTACACGTTTTCTATTTGAGGTAGTTCAAGAATAAATTTTGTTTTTTGTCTATAAATATTATTTGAGATATATTCCCTCTGTATTATAAAATTGATGTTTCTGCCTATTAAACAAGGAACATTGGTGCAAAATCCAAAAATCGATTAGAAAACAGAGGGAGTGTATACATTTTCACTTGCAACCACACTGACCTACACAATTGAAATTCCTTTTTTACATTGTTGAACACAAGTTCCACAAAATAAACTGAGGAATATTCACATAAACAGCAAAAATACTGCTCTAAACTAGCAATCATCTATAGTTGGGATGCAACATGAAAAAACCATTAAATATGAAGTAATTTACACAAAGGCTACATATTCAAGATGTTAAAACAATAATTGAGAAATGTAACCTCCATAGATAAACAATAACTAACCTATATTTCAGCAAGTTTGGAGGGCAGAAGCTGCGATCAGTTCCAAAGAGTTAAAGTTGTAGGAGTGCACTGTTGTTGTCCTGGTTGATCCTTGATAGGCCACTCTAGACAACAAAAAATAGCGATTTGAATACTCCAAAGACTGTGTCTGGTACACACCACCAACAGCTCATTAAGGCAAAGACGACAAATCACTAACTACAAAAACCAGGTTTCTGTAGTTCATAACAAAGAAATCATCATACATGTCGAAAATCATCCCCTTGCCCTTGCTAGCTTGTTATAAAAATGGCTATGTCTGCATGCCCCACATAGAAACCTATATGAAGCACATTGAAGGCTTTCAAGCAAGCTCAAACACTGGCACCCCACAAATTTATCGCTCATAACTAGCAATTCTCCCACTTGTTGGGAGCAGGCCATCCTTGGCCATATCAGTAAGCACATTAAATACTGCATCCATATTGCCTTCTTTATGGTTAACCTCAACAAGAACCTTTCCAAGCTCTGCATCACTAAGCTTACAGCTTCTCAATACATTGTTCAAGACTTCCTCTAGCTCCTTGTTCATTTCTCCTTTGAAAAGTGTTTTGATCAAAGCTATTACTGTTATAGTGTGAGGACTGAATCCAGAACCCATCATTTCCTTGTACAAGACATACGCTTTGTGTGGATTCCCACACTTAGAATGACCATGCATGAGTACATTATATACAGCTTCAGATGGCTTATGGTCTTTCTGAAGCATAGACTCAAATACTCTATCTGCTTCTTTCATCAAACCTTTCATGCAAAATCCCTTCAAAAGAGCCACAATGCTCCTAAATTCAATGTCACCACAGCTCTCTATCAGTGTGTCATAGGTGATGCCGGAAGGGATAGAATCATCATAAAACATCTTAAGCAGAAGCTGCTTTGCTTCCTTTGTCCGAGCTTGTTTATTAAGACCATTAATAAGTACACTATATGTGACCACATCAGGAAGGAGACCTTTCTGTATCATCTCATCATGAAGTTTAAAAGCCTGCTGGATATCCCCTTCTATACAGTGTGCATTTATCAATGTAGTATAGGTAAATTCATCAGGTGGCAAGCCTGCATTTAACATATCATTGAAAAGAACAGAGGCTTCAGCAAGCCGATTTTGCTCACAAAGTCCTTTGATAAGTGACGAATAGGTAATAGCATCCGGCAAAATCCCCCTCCCAACCATCTCATTTTTCATCTCAAAGGCTCGGTCCACGTCTTGATTTTTGCAAAATCCAGATATAAGTGTACTATAACTCACAACATCGGGTACCAAACCTCTCTCCACCATATCCTGAACCACACTAATGGCCTCCTCCATTCTACCCAAAATGCAATGCCCATTGAGAAGAGCATTGTAGGTCACAATAGAGGGTTCAAATCCACCGGCAGTCATCTCATTCAATAAATTATAGGCTTCATTCAGCAGACCTTGCTGGGAAAATCCATCAATCAAAGTTGTATATGTTTTTCCATTGGGTCTAAGCCCTCTAGAGCACATCTGTTCCAAGAATTCCATTGCCCGATTCATATTACCCGCCTTGCACATGCTATTAATGAGAGAAGTATAGGTAACAACATTGGGAGATAAACCATTTTTAAGCATATCAGAATGCAAAAGGAGTGCCTGGTGAAAGTTACCATCTTTACAATACCCATTAACAAGCGTGTTATAAGTCACCTCATCGGGTTTAAGCCTCTGGCGGTACATATCATGAAACACCTCAGAAGCCTCCTTCATCTTCCCCTCACAACACAACCCATTAATCATAATATTATAAGTAATCAAATTAGGCTGCAGACGGTTCGACTGAAGTGAACGAAACAAGCTGATTGCATCATCCGCCTTCTTAAGCTTAAAATGAGCATCAATTAGAGTATTATAAGACACAATATTAGGCAAACACCCAGATTTTTGCATATCAGAGAAAAACTTCAAAGCCTTAGGCAAATGAGCAGCCCCAGAAAAACCCCTCATCAAAATATTATAAGTAAACACATTAGGAGACACACCCAATTTGTTCATATCATCAAACAACTCCATAGCCAACGACAACGACGACGAAGACGGCGGCAAATTCCGAAGAATAGCATGAAGAATCGAATTATACGACAAAACCCCAGGCATAAAACCCTCAATCTTAGCAAAATTAAGAGTATTAATAGCTTTATCTACCATATTAAGCGAAGCATAAGACTTAACCATCAAATCAAAAACATCAGACGAATTAGAATTGAAAGACTGATAAGAATTTTTCAGAAAATCAAACACTAACCCACCAGTTGAATCATCAAGGGAAACTTCGCGAGCGAGTTCTTCGGCGAGAGATTGCGCGGTTTTGAAGAGGCGGAACTTGGTGAGAACGTGGAGGGCGTAGCATTTGGATTTGGGGTCTAAGAAACCGGGGTTCGAGGAAGTGCGCGCCCAATTGAGGAATTGGAGGGTAAGGGCTTGGTCGAACTGGGTTTTGAGGAGGACGAAGCAAGCGGATTCTGGGTTGAATTCTGGGAGTAAGGAAGGTAGTTGTTGTGGGTGTCGCCGGAGGTAGGTTATGGCTTTGTCGGCGAGAAAGGCGTTGCGTGGGGTAGATGGTGTTGTGATGGATGAGGAATGGTATTTGCATTTGCGTAGCAGCATTTTGGTTTGCTGGGTTTGGGTGATTAGATTACTACTAGTAGTAGAGTAGTAGCAGTGCTGGTCTTGACATTGAAGAGGGAGATTCTAACTTGCCACAACATGAAATTTAGTGGATTAGGTGTAGATTGGATCAATTGACCTATTTTCTCCGTTTTTTTTAATACTGCACCATAAAGGTTGGGCAAAATTTTTTTTGTAGTGGGAAAAAGAAAGAGAAATAAAGGTAAAATTGTCCATGCAATTGAAAAATAAACTAAAGAATTAAGGGTTTAAAGGTAAGGATATATAGGGTATTTGTAGTGTGAACACATATATTTTCTTTCCTAAAATGGATATGGTGCGATATTTGTGAAACTTCCTTAATAGGCAAATGATGCAATATTTAAAAAACGGAGGAAGTATTTGGCATGTGGACATTTGATTTAAAACTAATTCAATCCAAATTTCAACTTTGTATGGAGACAATGATTAAGCATGACTTAAACTTACCTGGTTCGATAGGCAAAACTGAATCCAACCCAATTATTCGAATTGACACTTGTGAATAATGAATATGCATGATTTGGTACATCAGTTCATGCCTAACGTTATGCTAATTTGCTTAGTAAGTTTTAGGGATGTTTATTTTACTTTCTTATAACGATTTATGAAGTTTGTATTAGAAGTGTCATTTCAATTAACTGTGCTGGATTTGATTAGCTCTAGTAGGATGGGATCAGATCTAATTCGGATTTAAAGCACAACACAACTTAAGCCTTGTGTTAGTTCAACTTATTTTTACTTATTTAAAAAAAAATAAGTTTAGAAGTTCAGATCAAATCATTATTTTATGAGCAGTTTTTTTATCGCTAAATATCCTTAATAACGTATTGAAAAAAATTATGAAAATTACATATTACTCCCTCCATGTTTAAATAAATGAAACGAGTTCCTTGTGCACGTATGTCAATGCAACACTTTGACTAATAATATCTTTAATTATCAATAAGTTAAAATTATAACAATTGAATATTAGTAAACTATTCATTGAGACGATCCAACAAATACCCACAAATACTATATTTATTTTTATGTATAAATCACAAATATTAGCTAAAAGTGAATTAAATGAATAGTGCAAAAGGTCAAAACATTGTATTTATTTAAACACGGAGGGAATAATAAAAAAACACATTCTTACGCATCTAAGACCCCACTTGATATATTTTTTCTTTATAGATTATCATACACCTAAGGACAAAGTTTGGTCAAATTAGACAATCAAGCCAGATCAAATAAACAAAAATAAGGTTAACTAAATAAACCTCACTCTGTAACATGAAACAACACGAATACGGAGTACTCTCTCCGTATTTTATTACTTGCTATACTTTTCTTTTGCGGCCGTATTTTATTATTTGCCCCATTTTCCTTTTAAAAAACTTTTAACAATAATTTATAATTTCTCTTCCATGGTCCCTCATATCATCCATCATACTCCGTGTTTCATTCTTTACTTAACCCCACTTCCATCCTACTCAATATATTAGGAAAAATTGACAAGAATAATCCTAACATTGCCTCATCCACCTAAAATAATTCCAACTTTGGATTATTTTTTTAATAATCCGAACTTTGATATGAATTTGCTTAAAATGGTCCCAAGTGACCGGTAACCTGTTGAGTAAGTAATTTTTTTTTAAAAAAAATAAAATTACACGTGTCACTATGTGATTAGTAAAAAAAAAGATTTAATTTTAATTTTTTTTTAAAAAAACATGATTTGTTACTAATTAATATTCAAAAAAAATTAACACTTCCTTCCAAAAAAAAATAAAATTAACACTTACTTAACTTTCCTCAAAAAAATAAATACTTAATTAACTAATTTAAAACTAAATAATAATAATAATAATAATAATAATAATAATAATAATAATAATAATAATAATAATAATAATCCTAGTGAGGTCGCTGCCCCTAAACTCATGAAGAAATTGGCAGATATATATTTCACGAAGGTTACCGATTCTGCAGAATCCACATTCTCTTTATCTCCTCGTCAATCAACATTGTGGAAATCGCAGTAGGGAGATCACACCTTTGATTGGCTTCGGGCGGTTCCTATTTCGGGGTTGGGTCAGACGATGAACGCAAAGACTAACCGATGTGTGTTGTGCTACCGCTTGGGTATTCCATTGTTCTCTGTCTCGACGCCGTGCTCTGCTTGTTAAAGGGTTTTTACTGGGGATTTTTTCGGTGATCACGCGGTGTCGTGTGCTGTAAAGTGGGTATTAAACATCGGCATAATGTTGTGCGGGATACCCTTATTGATGTTTGTTATCGATCTGGGATTTCAGCTAGAAAGGAGGTTGACATTGGGTTGTCTGGAGGGAACGACGGGGCCCTTAGACCTGTAGATGTGTTACTTTATTCTTGGGATCGTAGTCGCGATGTCTGTGTTGACTTGACAGGGTCTTCTCCTTTGACACAGTTTGGGTTATCTGGCTTTGTTCTTGGACGGCTTGTGGCTAATGCAGCTCATCGAAAGCGAGTCAAGTACGAATCTAGTTGTTGGGCAATTGGATATGGTTTCCTTCCTTTCTCTTTCTCTACACTTGGGGAATTAGAGAATGAGGCGGTTGCATTGCTGAAGCGGATCCAGAAGTTCTCGAAGACTCAAGACATTGGGGCACGTGCTGCTACTCATATCTTCACTAGAATAGCATTTGCTATAGCTAGAGGAGTGGGGGCCCATATTGTATCTCGGCTTCCCACTAATTTTTTTTGTAGGTTCTATGACTTTGTCTTTTTTAGATAATAATAATAATAATAATAATAATAATAATAATAATAATAATAATAATAATAGCAAATTAACCATTCGCCATTACCAACGACCCAGCCACCTCCACCACCCTACCTCCCCTGAGCCACCAACACCAACCAGCCAGCCCAACATCCACCCTACCACAACTACCGTAACCAGATGTGTGCGTCGCAAAAGCCCAAGAACAAGTCATAACAATATTAGCGATCTCCTCGGATCGAGAAACATCGACGTGGACAAGGTGGCGTCCAAGATCGGCGGCTACAACAAACTCAATGGCGCGGTCGGATGAGCCCACCAGGCATAGATCAAGTTGCCATGCCATGGGCGAAGCCGACGTTGGGCGGCGCTTGGGAGGAAAGTGAGGGAGTGGAGAAGAACAGTCTCAATGGTGGGCAACGCGATTTTAAAGGCCAGGGTTTCGTGGAGGAGGAGGATTGGTGGTTTAGAGAGAGGGGGGCGACACGACGTGACGCGTGGAGAGGAGATTTGTGCGCGGCCAGAGTTGGGGTGCAAGTGGTCAGGCTGGTGGAATAGGCGGCGGAAGGGGTGGTCGGGGTTGGTAGGGTATTTTATTTAAGACAGTTTTTTTTAATTAACCCATAACTTTTTTATTTTTCTTAAAAAAAAATTAACTTTTTATAATTTTATTTTTTTCACCAACCAGGTGCCAACACGTGTCATTTAACTTGTTATAACAAGTTAAATGATTGGTTGGAACCATTTTAAGCAAATTCATATCAAAGTTCGGACTATTAAAAAATAATCCAAAGTTGGGATTATTTTGGGCGAATGAGACAAAGTTTGGATTATTCTTGTCAATTTTTCCCGTATTTTATTACTTTTTACTATTTTTATTCTAAAACTCCGTGCATGGAGAAATAGAACAAGTACTCCGGAATAAAATACGGAGGGAGTACACGAGCAAGTATGACACTATTCATAATTATACGTGTCGCTCGACGCTTGTGCCACGTGTTTGTTGAAGAGCACCAAAATGCAAGACCATGTGCGACAAAATGCCACAAATACACAATCAACTTATCCAATATCCATCCTTATTGACTCGAAAGGAAGATGTCTGGAGGAGAATAACCATGGAGTGGGAAACACCCTCAAGGAAGGCTTTCCGATGACAAATTCCGATTTCCGTTTCCCCCGAATCAAACTTCTTCGCTAACAACAATGGCGGCTTCACCTTTTACTACACCTACTCTCTTTTCCGGAAAAAATGGTAATACCAAAATTTGTCAGTTTCTCTCTCATCACCTTTGTACCATGCCATTGCCAACATCAACTTATCCACTGCCGCCAATTATAAACTACGCCACCCTCCGCCGCCGTCATCGCCGCCGCATACAGCGCTACAATTTCAACGGATTAGGAGATGATAATTACAGCACCACAACCAGCAGCGGCGTCGCCGGCGATGGAGAAACGCTGACTACCCCTGATACTAATACTAAGAAGGGAATTCTGGCAGCCGCGATAGAAGCTCTTCCTCTTCCGCAAGGAGAAGCTAATACTGCGATTATCTCTGCTTGTGTTGTTGGCCTTCTTACTGGTGTCAGTGTCGTCCTTTTCAATTATGTGGTTCGTATACCCTAACCCTAACCCTTTTTTACGTTCATCAATTCATTTCATTGCCTTTCTATTCCATTACTCCCTCCGTCTCAAATTAATTGACACGTTGTATTGTTTTCGAGAAATTTGACCTTAATGAATATTTTATGATATATGAAAATATTCTAACAAGATTGCGCGTGACTGTAGTTATTTCTTATGTACGGACGAGAATTGCGTGGTTTGAAAAACAGTTGTGGTAGTTATTTTGGAATGGACGGAGTAATTTATAGTTTTTTTTTTCTTCGACTGTTATCTAATTAAAGAACAAAAGGCTTTAGGTTCATGAATTACGTGATTTTTGTTGGGATGGAGTACCATACCGAGGTGCATCATGGTTAAGGGAGGAGAATCTTGAAGAAACTTGGAAGAGGACTGTATTCATACCGGTTAGTGGGGGTGTGATTGTTGCTGTGTTGAATTATATTCGAGAAGGACTTGATTCCACTGAAGGAGGAGGCTTTAAAACCATTCCTCAAATTCGGGCTGTGTTTCAGCAGTTCCTTAAGTCGTTGGCAGCATGTGTCACTCTTGGAACCGGGAATTCGTTGGGCCCTGAAGGTCCTTGTGTTGAAATTGGTTCTTCCATTGGCAAAGGAATTGCATCTTTGTCCGGTAGGAGTGCTGGGAAAAAGGTTCCTCTTGTTGCTGCTGGATCAGCTGCCGGGATTGCTTCTGGTTGGAATTCTTCAACTATAGATTGTAATGCACTTACCTACATTGTTTTACATTCTTTGCCGAATAGTAGCTCTGCTCTTTTATGCTTGATGACTGCTCTTGTAATAAGTTTGTGTCTTAGTTTGTGTATGTGGTGTCTCCTGTTCGTGTTATTTAGTTTTGATCATGAGGATAGAGGAGTCAAGGGGTAAATCTTATATTTGGGCCAATTTATAGGCATCACAAGGTCTGACTGAGTTAGCCTTTAAAACAAGTTAACTGACTTCAAT